GGGTACCCTGGAAAGACCCATCCCTGGATCGCTTATCCTGTGTGCAGGTCTCACAGATGCCATAATCTCTTCAGCAGAGAGCTGTTGTGTCTCTCAGGATATAGCTTTCTCCCAGAATTAAAACCCCATGGAGGTTAAGGCACCTGTAGTGGTGGTCTCTGGTGGCACATCACAGATGAAGAGCTTCATATTCTAACATTTTTATCTCATGGTAGGGTGAACCCTGCTCAGAGCCTACTCTGAGATCCAACACAACAGAGAAAAATACACTTTTCTGGCACTCTGGAGCACAATGGTCACTCCCCAGACTTCCCTGCAGCTTTGAGGCAGGGAGCTGATGCACTTCTAGGAAACCAAGCCCACAGAGCTACAATCTTTACTAAAAACATAAGCCATCCAAAAGGTAGCAGCAACTGGGGAAAGTGGACCTATTCTGTGCCTGCTGAGTCAACAGGAGTAACCATGGAGGAGGAACTAATACACTCTATCACCTTGTTTACTTTTTTTGAGAGAGAACACAAACCTTTCTCAGATGACCACTTACTATGGAATATCTCTTGACTGCTGTATTCTCTAAATAAATGCATGCCAAACCTTGTAAAAGTAGCTACTGGTGTTTAAAAATTAAAAACATTAATCTTTTCCTAATATATCTGTAAGTGGATCTGAAAGGCAGTAAATTAGATGTAAAATCCAATGGTAATCACCCAGGAAGGGTGATGTAGGAAGGGAGGATGTGGCAGTCACCAAAAGGGGCCCTGATTTCTCTCCTGGTGGAGCCAAACTGTGGTCTGGCTACCCCCACACAAGGTAGATTTGGCTCCTGAGGCCTTAGAACTTACTCATAAATATGGATGGAAGTGAAAACTCTTAAGGGTACCTGTTCTCTGCTCAAAATGAGGTTTAATCCAGCTTGCCCACTGGGCAGACTGCATGTTTGCTAGGCTCCAGGGAGAAGAAAAAATGCTCCAGTGCCACCAGTTTCCTGAGTGACCACAGGGGCAATGGCAGTGCCAAATTACCCACCACCTGTGTTTAGAAGACCACAGGAGCCAGAGGTCCCTGAGCCTCTGGGCAGGGTGCCTGCAATATGAGTCTCCAGTTCATTGTGCATTGGGTCATGCAGGCCATCCTATCAGGTTACCTGCGTTCACCCTCTTTCAGCAAGTGTGTCTTACAGCCTTAATGAAAGCAGTTTTTATACTCTGCTTGCAGAGAATGAAATAAAATGTTAAGTGCGACCCTGATGATGCACAGGCACTGCCCACTTCTCGACCAAACAGGGCCAGCAGGTTATTTCTATTTCTGCCTCTTGTTTTAATCAATGTTCTTCCTCCAAACAAAAAAGGTTCTAAAGTCTCCTGCTGGAATGAGACATGGGGACTGCCTCAGCTGGGAAAGGACTTCCAGGTTTGGGGGAGAAAGCTGGCTCCCTTGTGTGCTCAGCCCTGTGACAGCCCCAAGGAGATGGTTTGTAGCTGCTGCCCTTGTGAAATGGGGAGACAAGTCAATGGCTCTTAAGACAAATGACTTTGGGTTGACACTCTGGCCTGTGGAGCAGCCCGTTCCACCGGGTCAAAACTCATGGTCATTTGCTGTCTTTGCCAAGGTATTACTTAGGAATGTCATACCAGCTGCTGAAACTCCCTCATTTTGGATTCTTCCCCATCTACATAAAGAAAGATATTGTGGCTGTGCAGATAAAGAATTGGCTGCCATTGGAGTTGGGTGATTTCCTAAAAATATCTTCAGACATTTAATCAAAAAATATTTTTAAAATAATTTTTGTTTTGCCAGGATGAACGAGGCTCAACTCACTTCCTTGATCAACATGCCAACATGCAAGGGCAAGTCCGTTTTCAGGGCCCGCCCCTCTGCCCTCCAAAAGGAGCCTGTGTGAAGGCTAGGCCAGTACTGCACAGCGTCTGACCCATCAACTAGGAGTGAATGGCTATCCCAATCTCTAGCGCACTCCTGCAACCTTGGCTTGGCTTATTTTTCCAGTTTCCACAAATATCAACGAAGACCAACCACTTAAGATGTTCCAAGGCTTTCTGTCTTAACACAGTGGTACTGCAAGCGCTGACATACAGCTTGAGAGGACAGCAGAGGACCAAGCATGAATTCCTTTCTCTCTTGGCCCATGACATTCTATACCCTTCACAGCCTCTGACATCAGAGAGAGTATTAGAAACTTCTAAATGGTTAGTGTGGGTCTCCTCCCTGGAGTGTCACCTCCCTGGGGTAAGGCTGGGCTCCCAGGCCCCCTCCAGCAGGGCCAAGCCACTGGCACTCAGTGGAGGCTGACATGGGCACTTTCATAATTGAAATGCCACCGTCTTTTTTTGATTCCCCTTCCTAAGGTAAAAAATAAGAACCTTCCTTAAGTGAAAATTTTTTTTTCAAAAAAAAAAAAAAAAAAAAGAAAAGAAAAGAAAAGAAACCCAGAACATTATACATGGTCACTATGTTGAAATTTCAGAGTTAGTGAAGAAAGCAAAAGATAAAAAAGGAAAAAAGATTTTCCCCAGTAAAAGATAAGCAATTCCAAACTGTGCAGTCCTCAGCCCCTGCAGCCTTGTCCTATTTTAATATTAAGGTTCTGAATTGTTTGAAAAGCATTTATTAAGCACCTATGTAGATCTTTTCAGCATCTAGAAAAATTTCCTAGGGCTATGTTAGTAAAGTGTTCCACTGAGGAAGACTCACAAGATTTTTACCGTTAACATTTTTTTTTTTCAAACACAAGCACAGTCTTGTTTTACATGTTGAAGGAAATTTTTGAAATTTCTGGCATCTAGGTTCTGTTGAATTTTAAGGAAAGAAGCAGTACAAATACAAAGTTAGGGCTGCTGAATAATGATCCCTTTGAACAATGAATTAAATGACACAATGACACTGTTTCTTAAAGTCTGCACTCTTTAGCCAGATCTTTCCCAAACATTTTAGGAAATTAGGAAAAGTCACCAATGGAGTTTCAGGGTGCCATTCCATCTATATGTTTGCAAATGAAGGGAAGGAAAGCAGTGAAGAAAATTAACAAAGTTAATGATGAACTAGTGCAGGGTGGTTTGGACTTTGAAAGTTTACAAGGTAACATCACAAAACTACAGAAGCCCACACCCTGCCAGGATGGGCTGGCATCTACTGTGAGCTAGCTGAGTGCATCTGAGCCAAAATGGGCCAGGCTCCATGGGCCGCCTGCACACCACAGGGGCAGTGCTGGGCCGAGCTTTCTCATCTTGCCCACAGTTGAAGTTAAGGCATCAGTTACCTGAAGTGCACAGAAAATCCTATCAATATCATACACAAAAATTAACTACAAATAGATGACGAATCTCAATGTAAGATCTGAAACTATAAAACAATTCCAAGAAAATATAAGTGTAAAACCTTCACGACCTTGGGTCAGGTAATGGTTTCTCAGATACGGTATCAAGAGCACATGCAATAAAGAGTTAATAAGCCGGACTTCAAAATTAAAAACTTTTGTGTTTCCGAAGACACCATTAAGAAAGTGAGAAGACAAGAGACCAGGAGAAAAAACTATTGTAGATCATATCCCCAGTAAAGGACTTTTATCCAAACATATAAAGACCTCCCATAATTCAATAAGAAGACAAAGAACCCAATTAAAAGACGGGGCAAAAGAGTGGAACAGACATCACATCAGAGAAAAATAAATTGCCAGTGCACACAAGAAAAAATGCTCACCATCATTAGTGACATGCAGATCAACAACACAGGGAGCTACCATTTCACATGAGTGGCCATCATCAAAAAGTAACAAGTCCTGGGAGGAATATAAGCAAGCTAGAACCCTCACATGTGGCTGCTGGGAATGCAGGATAGTGCTACCACTGGAAACTATTTGGTAGGTTCTTCAAATATTGAACGTGGATTTGCAATATGACTCAGAAGTCCCTTCCCAAGAGAGATGAAACGTCTGTCCACACAGACTTGCCTATGAATATTCAGAACAGCATTATTTATAATAAAAAAATGGAACCAGTAAATGAAGAAAATGTGTGGCACCTCCTTACACTGGAGTATTCAGCAATACAGAGGAATGAAGTCCTAACGTGTGCTTAACATGGACAGACCTTAGAAGTATCATGCGAGAGAAAGATAACAGACACAAAAAGACCATGTATAGTAAATTTCTATAGAGACAGAGGTGGTTGGTGGTCGCTGAGTGGAGACCGAGTGCAGATGGGTGTGAGGCTGCTTTCTGGAGGGATGTTCTAAAGACGGACTGGAAAGATGCTGTACAGCTGACAACTGCTGACCTGTACACTTCAAGACTATGTGAACTATACCTCAAAAAAGCTGTTTGAAAGAACTGAAATCTTAAAAAAAAAAAAATCTGAGTGTCCATATAATCCTTCTGTGATGCCAACATTCTCTGGACATTAGCTGCTTGGAGAAGATCTAGTGCTCTGGAGGGAAGGACATCATGCCTGAGAGATTACTGCCCAGAGTCAGCTGTGATGCGTCAGGAATGAGTCTGTGAGCTTCTCAAAGATTTCAGGAAGCTGTAAGGTCAATATTTTAAAAATCTAATAGCAAAAAGAAGCTAAAGAATATCATCAATGACATACACTTTGGTCTATTTTAGAAAATTAACTACTGAAACATTTACTTTCTGAAAAAGATGCTTTCTTGTCAAGAAATAACTCAGCAGACTTAACACTGATCAAACACTTGCACATGTTGATTTAAAGATCAACAGCCTCCAACATGTGGTAGGATGGCTTCTGCTTTCCCCCATCCTCCCCTGCGTAGGGAACATAAGAGAACTTAAAGGGCCTCTGGATCTGCAGCAGTGTTTCCTTTAGTTAGGAGATCGATCCCAGGCCCCGCAGAACTCCTAACCCAGTGCTCATCTCTAGCACATCTGGCTGTGCCCCTTCTGTACCAGAACGCGTGAATCAGAGTGACAGACCTCCGGCTCAGATAAAGTGTTGGCTTCTGAAGCTGGTAACCAGTAAAACACAATATAACTGAGCTTTCCTAAAATAAACCATTTATTGAAAAAAGAACCTTTTTCTTAAATTTCATTAATCAGCCTTTGCATAACAAACCTGTGGCTTGCCAACAACAACAAAAGGTAAGATTTCACAGTCAGTGCACTCGACAAACAAGAGTTTAACAAGGCCCAGGACACCTGATAACACTACAACTGCTTTTGAACCCAGGAAGGTCAAAACACTACACTGATGTCAGCACACGAGAAACAGGTGACAGAGGTGATGGTCCGTGTACAGTAGTAATGGCACTTAACATGCAGCTTCTTTACCTCGTGGACACCGTCACTCAGAGGGCCCCGTGCCACGTCAAACAAACAGGAGCAGCAGGAGAAGTGACGCTTGTCACCTGTGCAGTCTTCAGTCTTGGAAGGTTAAAAAGGCTTATACTGCTTCTCAGCACAGTCTTTATGTAAATATTACATACAGTAGTGATTAAGAGAATTCTCCGAGCACACACACTACCAGGCCGCAGACCGATTAGCTTCATTCTTCATCTGTGCAGACCTGGGAGGGAGGCAGGAGAGAGCTGAACCAGATCTGCCATAGACACACAACTAACAGGTAAGTCACCACCACTGCTGCAGCCTCCTCCCCGATCCCCGCACTGGGGAGCCTGAGCAAGAAGCCCAGCGCAGAGAAGCCCCAGTGCAGAGAAGCCCCAGCAAGGACCCAGCACAGAGGGGAGGCTTAATGGTGCAGTAAGTGATGTAGGTACTAAAGTCATGGTTCTGTCAACTGGCCCCTGAAAGCATTTTTAAGAATGTACCTGGACAGGGGCAGCCCACGTGGCTCAGCAGTTTAGTGCTGCCTTCAGCCCAGGGTGTGATCCTGGAGACCTGGGATCAAGTTCCATGTCAGGCTCCCTGCATAGAATGGAGCCTGCTTCTCCCTCTGCCTGGGTCTCTGCCTCTCTCTCTCTGTGTGTCTCTCATTAATAAATCTTTTTTAAAAAAAAGTACCTGGACAATATCAAGTCAATACAAACCATCTAAACAAAGAAATGAGTGTGTTTTAAATTACAAATCCCTAATGTCTACACAGCAAAACCAGCTACTTGTTCCTTACTTCCACTCACCCTGCTCATTGGCACCTTCCCTTCCTCCGACAGGGGGCTCCCCTGTAGGGCCCTTTCAGCACTATTTTCTCTCCGGGACCTGCATCCGAGCCCCACTCTCTCCCCGCATTCACACCCATCTGAAAGCCCTAAGCAGATATTCCAAACATGCCTTAACCATCATCTGCCAAAGAGGAACCCACTGCCTCCCTGACCCAACCCTCTGTATCCCTCCTTGGCCAACAGGATCTCCAATCTGGTGATCCAAACCAGGGCCTGGGAGCCATCCCAGACCCTCCCCTTACTTGTCTATCATCCCATCAGCTATTTAATTGTGGCCATTTTAACCCCGAAATAGCGCCAGTAACTTGCCCCTGACCTCCCACACCCAGCCCATTAGCTGTATCAGCAACTTCCTAACTACTCTGTCTCCAGAAGCATCATTCTGAAACACCATTTAATCAAGTTACACTGAAAATAAAACTGGAATTCCTTCCTGGGGGCTCCTTTTCACTTCTGCAGCCTTACCTTTTACCACTTTCCACATCCTGTGATCCACTGGTACACAGTTCCTGGATTGTTTTACCCTTGTTAGCCTGTCATACCCTACCCCCCACCGCCTGACCTCCCTATACCCTCCCAAACAGCTCAGGCATCTCATTCCAGAGAAAGCAATGATAGCTGAAATGGCCTGGCTGGATGAAATCACTCTTCCCAGGATGCCTGGGTGGCTCAGCAGTTAAGCGTCTGCCTTCAGCCCAGGGCATGATACTGGAGACCCGGGATCAAGTCCCACATCAGGCTCCCTGTATGGAGCCTGCTTGCCCCTCTGCCTATGCCTATGCCTCTGCCCCTCTCTCTGTATCTCTCATGAATAAATGAATAAAATCTTAAAAAAAACAAAAAAACAAAAAACTCTGCTCTTCCCAGTGGCCCTACAATGTGGCATACATACCCTACCCCAGCTCTGAACAAAAAGCTTAGTCGCTGCTAGCCCTGTCTCTCTCTCCTCTCTTAGAGTGCAGGCACTACTAGCCCTGTATGCAAGTAGACCATACACTCTCAGGAGTAGAAACTTGGTCTTTTGCCCAGTCCCATATAAAATGCCATGTAACAGTCCCAGGTGTACCACAAACACACCGGGTAGATCAAGCAGAGAACCTCAATGAACATTTTCTGGGGGGGGGGGGGGGGGGGGGGAATCTAAAACTCCCTGGCATAATACGTTTAGCTCCTTTCCATTTCTTTCTTTTTTTTTTTTTGATGTTTAAATATATACATTTTATTACTAAAAGTAAATTATTAAATAAATGAAAATTGAAACCACACTAATAACACTAACTATTTTGCCTATCATATGGGGGGGGGGAGATAATACTACACAATGCTGGCAAGAGTATGGAGAAAGTAGTGCTCTGATTTTCTGCAATAGGGAGTGCTAATTGGTAAAACTTTTTGGAAATTAATTTGAAAATACATCTTGAAGTTCAAATATTGCATAACCTTTGACTCAGCGATACTATGTTTATAAATGTACCATGTGTGTACTAATACAAGTATTTTATGTCTAAGTTTCCAAATTTCCTTCAGTGCCAGATACAAACAGAACTCAAACATCCAAACATGAAAAAGACTGTACGGTGATCTGCCCAACCTTGACGAAGGAATGGTCGAGGAGCTGGCTGGCCGTCCACCTCATCCTGGGCTCACTTTCAAGGCAGTGAGAAAGGAAGTCCTTTCCTTCCGGGCTTAGTCTCTCAGGGATGGGTGGCTTGTGCCCCATTCCCACTTTATACATAATCTGAAAGTTGTGTTCATATTCATGCCAAGGCCTCTAAAGAAAGGGGGAAAAGCAGGTTTAATGATATTACATGGCCATAAAAAAATGAGATGGCCCAATCCTTTCAGGCATCTCAATATTAATATATATCAGAGGCCAGCTAGCTTTTACTTACAGGGCCAAATAGTAAGTAGTTTAGGTTTTTTGCTTACAGAGCCAATTAGTAAGTAGTTTAGGCTTGCGGGCCACAGTGCTCAATTCTCCCGCTGTGACCTGACAGCAGCCATAGAAGATACATAAATGAATGGGTGTGACTGAGTGCCAGTAAAACCTTATTTACAAAGCCAGGTGGTCAGCACAGTCTGCCAACCTCATTTGGATGTTATGATAGTCCAGCATTACCTGGAAGCCACTATCATGAAAATAAAAAAGGATATATATAAACTGATATAACAATGTCAACAAAACATATAAAACTCAACAATTCTCTCACAGGGACATTACTATGCTACCTCGTTGAATAATGAACATCAAATTCTAATAGTGCGAAGCTCTGGTTATTTTATGTATCATAAAACATAAGAACAAAACGTTCAGCAGCCACAAGGTATAATACATTTTCCTACTAATAACACTTGAGAGGTTTCTAACATTTTTTTTGGTTTATAAATAATGCTACTACACACACACAATGGTCCCTCTAGACATCTGCTGTTCATTAGCAGTATTTTCATAAAAAAGTAAATTTTTAGAATTTTAAGATAATCATACAGAATAGTCTCACTGCCCTAAACATCCTTGTGCTCTATCTTATCATCCTTTCCTTCTTCTCCCAGAGCTACTGACAACTGATCCTCTTACTGCTGCCTCCTGCCTTCCCCCCAGAATGTCATGTGGGTGGAATCACACATGTATGTGGCATTTCCAGATTAGCTTCTTTCTCGTTGGCAATATGCTTTTACAGCTCCTCCTCGTCGTCCTCTGGGCTAGACGGCTCATTTCTTTTCATTGCTGCATAATATCCCATTGTCTGGATTACCAGTTTGCTCACCTGTTCACTTACTCAAGGACACCTTGGTTGCCTCCATGTCTGGCAATCATGAATAAAGCTGCACTCCAGTGCTAGTGTTTGGACAGAAGTTTCTGGTTCCTCATTTCTTTCTGCAGCTCCTCATTTCTCCATGTTTTAACTTGAGCTTCCTACTTTTTTATTCACTCATGTAAGTGTTCTTTAAGTCATAAATCTTATAAATATTTGGTTCCTAGACTGTCACCTGTCTTCACGTTACTGTATCTTTTTAGAGTTCACTTTTTTTTTTATGTTTACTCACATTCTCTAGTTAGCAGAAAATGTGTCCCTGGTATTTGTAATACCTAATAAAACACAATTACAGCTCTGTTCCTGTGAACACCCTCTGGGAGTTTCTCCTCCTGGTGTGGGCTCTGCTTACCTTGCCGGTCACCATCTCTATAACGACACAGCCCAGACTCCAGATATCAGCGGCACGCCCATGGCCTTCTCCTTTTGCACGAGTGATGACTTCTGGAGCCATGTATGCTTTAAAAGTCACAGATATGGTGATAGGAATGGATTACAAACACAGTATCATGCAATAATAGAGCTAAGCAACAAATTAATATTGTGTAATACTCCACATTAATGAAACTAACTTATGGCGGGGGGGGGGGATACAGAAAGGACTTTCTCGGAGTTATATAATATGAAATATTGAAACCAACAAAAGATTTCAAATCAATTTTCTGAATTGACATTTTAGGGGATGAATTAGTATCTAATTGACAATTTCTGAATGGCAAATCTTCAGATAAACTGTATCACATTAAAAATATGAATTAAATGTTCAAAAGAAGCTGTAAAATTTTATGACACTGAATAATAAAACAAATACTTACCATTAAACATGTCCCTTTTTAAAGGGACAATGAAGCAGACTGGTGGGGAGCATACCAGGTGTGGGCTTGGCTGCACTAGTAACACATTCCCACGTGTTAAGATATTCACCCACTTCTGGGTGTGCCTACCTACTCCTTTTCATTTAAAAGAGCCAATAATGCTTCAAACTTCCTGCCTCCTTTAGATAGACATGAAATTGTCACAGGTGCTCGACAATAAATAGGTTATGTTCTTAAAAAAAAATCCATACTATTCTATTTAACATACTGTTGTGCTTTGACTAGAATAGTTTTAATAAACCCCTTGTGAACAACAAAGGTAGTTTTTCTGGGAAGAAAAAGAGGACTTTCTTGTCTTCTTTCACTTTGGAGGGAAAGGCGAATTTCTGCATCTGAGACGTGCTGGCAGGTGGAAGCCTGCGGGGTCTGTGGTCAGAAACCCTCCCCCCTCCTCCCTGGTCTGTGCTGACAGCAGAGATGAAGGGAAAGCCCAGTTACCAAGCACACTGTAATGAGTCATCGTGGCAAAGACAAATCAAGCCAGTCCCCACCTGCTGTCCCCAGTGTGCTATTCACTTCTCCCGGCATGGTCTGTGCGTTGTTTTTAAGCTTTACTGAGCATCCAAAATCCCCCAGCTTGATGAGTCCAGAGGAGGTTAGGAAGATATTGGCACCTAACAAGAAACAAGCACTTGTTGGGCTTGGGAACACAGAGTGCATTTTCAGCTACACGGCAACCAAAATTCCCAGGAACTTGATTCACAAATTAAATAATGTAAAGGTTTATAAAATTTGACTTACAGAGTATAATCATGGAAGGATTTTAAGCCTTATACACAAATGTTACTACAAAGCAAAGAAATTTTCATATCAGTACAGAGAGCTTTGACCAACAGACTCTGAACTGAAACACTTGCACAGATATAATGCTGCAAATACAGGGAGACCCTTTACACAGGAATTATGTGGAAGCTACCATTGCCTGTAAAATCAGAGGCGTGAACAAGTAGCAGCACCTGTAACAGGTCGCAACGTGGAGTTTGGACTGGCGCGCACGCTCTTCTCTGGAATCCTGGCTGAGGCTGCACAGACAACTTCGAACTATGACTGAAGAGATGCTATAGAGCCTCCTCACATCTCTGAATGCAACACACATGCTCATACTCTAGCTGGAATCTGGGGTGACTGCTCACGGCTGTGGCAGCTCTAGGCTATGAGATATTGTTGCCCTAACCAAGCCACATATCTCTGGCGCTGTGTGTCCTATGGCACTTTTCTCAAAAAGCAGTACAGAGCCACTCAAATTAGGTTGGGGAGCCACACCATAAGCTGACATCTAACAGAGCACCTGAGCGCTCCCAGGATATACGGTCCCCCACAGAGGACTACACACTACCAACTTCACAACTCTGGAGCTACTCCACACGTGGACATCAGCCATACTGAATCACAAAAAATATCACAAGGGCAAAGACTTGATTCAACGACCCTGAGGAATTCTCTTTATGGTCATGGCCCATGAAAGGAAGGTACCATTCCGTGACAGGGATCAGAGCCAGGGTATTGGTATTTGTGGCTGAACAACTGGAAAGAGGCAATGTCATGGCTGATAAAGAGCCAATTAGGCGAATGCTCAGAATGATTCCAAGCAGCAAAGCAATGGGGGACACGAGCAGGCAGGGAGACAATAAGAATGGTGGATGCTGGGGATTCAGGGTGAGCTACTGGAGGGAGGATGGACAATTCTTCCACTCAGACCAAAGCAGGTTCTGGTGTAATCCAGCCCCGTGCTGGATCAAGTGCTGGGTCGGAAGTCAGCCAATTCTACAGAGAACGTGCTTATGCTGGCCTCGGACTATGTGACAGAGTGGAATCCTTCAGTCTAGGGCCCACCAGAGACAATTTGTCACTTTAACTATCCCTGACTCCCCAAATACAAAGGTCAGGGACAAATGCCAGAGGGACAGTTCTGAGACAAGCATGACTATTCCCCTCATGCCAGAAGAGAAAAGCACTTTAAATCAATCAGCATGACCAAGTCAGTCTTTAGCAGAATTGTACACTGGAGGAGGTTGGTGTAAATAAATCTTGTCTCCCAAAACACAGCTTACACTGGCATTTCAGATTCACGGTCACTTTACATATGCATGATGTTCACATGGAAATACGCAAAAGTCTTGAACAGAGAAAAAGATGTGTAGATTGTGAATGTCTAGTAAATATACAAGGTTGGCTAAACCAGCCTATAAAAATAGCAAGTTTCATTCTTGGGGAAACAGACCTCACTAAAAACAGTGTTACGCAGAAAGATAAAGCAGACTTATCTGCTCATGGATGGGGATGTGCTATACGGTCTCTCAATACTGGGTTCTTAATGGTAGCATATTCACAGTAAAGGCACTTCTTTCTAGAGAAATGGTTTGTGGGAGGGGGATCTAGTGTCTTGGCAGCACCTACTATGTGTAGGGCACACAGTCTGGTATCCATGGCAGCCAGGTGAGTGTGAGGACTACCTTTGATGTCACGGTGAACGATGCCATGCTCATGGAGGACATTGATTGCGATGGTGATCTGCTTTGAATACAGCCTAATGACATGCTCCTGAAGTCCCAGCCTTGACACCTCTTCTAATGTCCCCTCGTCACAGTATTCCATGAAGATGTACATTTCTTCCTGCGGGAGGAACAAAATGCAGCCTGTGTTTATATGTACACTAAGTGAATAACCTGGAAAATGTCACAGGTCATGCCCCAAAGGAACCTTCTTTCTAATGGTATGCTACACTTGTCATCCTCAACACTGAATTTGTCTGATAACAGTCATTTCTCACTCCTACACAGAGGTGTCTGCCTGCCTCCTCTGTCTGGAATTATACAGCTTGTCGAGATAAGAGTGTCTTCTCCAAATCACAGGTGATAAGTTGTCTATAATCCTCTGAAATTAAGTCTGCTATATAATCTCAGACAGGGACCAACAGGGCTGTCCCTATAAATGTATTATTAAGTACTGAAACACATCCTTTTCAGATATGAATTTATTTGTGAAAACATTAAAAATCACCACTATTCAACTTCCCTTGGAAGTTCAGACTCCACCAAGATGATCCGAGTTATCCTCTTTCCCTCCAAGTGTTTACTTCCAAACACAGGGGGGAAACGAATTTGAAGTTTTAACTTTCTCATTTCACAACGGTTCCTTAAATACATGTAGGAGAAAAATCAGCATTTCTTGACAGTGCACCCAACAGTGGTTCAGTGAAAAATGGGGAGAAAAAAGTAACACACTGTGTAAGGGGCATTTTAGAAGAATCTTCTGATCGGCAGGATGGGTTTCAGTGCTTTATAATGTCGGGTTAACGACTACAGTCTACAACTTACATTTTAGGAAGAACTCCTCTAGTTTCAGAGAGAAGGCAGAAATGATGTAACTCATGGAGATTTCCTGATAATTAGGCAAAGTTACTGTGCTCTGAAATGAGAAGACCTGCGATGTAGAACAGGACTCCGACTGTGCCCTTACTGATTCCTCACACAAAACCGCGTGATCAAAGTTGGCTTACTCTATGAAGCTCCACACCAAAATACCGAACCAGATTGGGGTGTTTGATGCCCTCAAAGATTTTCAATTCGTCTGCAGTTTCCTTGATAGTTTTATGGTCATTAGGTTGAAATCGGATCTGTAAAGAGAAAACTGTTGATCAGTGTTGGTCCTGTCACAAACCAGAAACAAGACACCTTTATCCCCGAGAGCCGTAAAGCTGGCTCCTGACATGTGCATCATCCAGACCCACAGACTATGGTCAGTGTGTCTGTACTTGACTTTGAGTCTTTCTCTGCTTTGTCATTCCAAGTGAATAAAACATGCCTGCTTTAGAATATTTGGTGAGAGAACAGCTAACAGGATCATTTTCATAACTGCAAACTGAATTCACAAAATCATTAAACATTCGATAAGTGATCATAAATATGTAGGTTCTGGAAGATAAAAAGGTGAGAGAGAATTGTGCCCTTAAGAAGTATACGAAAGGGCACCTGCACCCCAATTTTCATAACAGGAATGGCGACAACAGCCAAACTATGGAAAGAGCCCAGTATTTGTCAACAAATGAATGGATAAAGATGTGGTCTATATATATACAATGACATTACTCAGAAAAAAAAGAAAGAAAGAAAGAAAGAAAGAAAGAAAGAAAGAAAGAAAGAAGGAAGGAAAGAAAGAAAGAAAGAAGGAAGGAAGGAAAGAAAGAAATCTTGCCATTTAAAATGACATAGATGGAACTAGAGGGTATTATGCTAAGTGAAGTAAGTCAGTCAGAGAAAGACAATTACCAATATGATCTCACTCACGTGGAATTTAAGAAACAAAACAGAGGATCACAGGGGAAGAGAGGAAAAAATAAAACAAGAGGACATAAGACAGGAAGACAAACCATAAGAGACTCTTAATCATAGGAGACAAACTGAGGGTCACTGGAGGGGTGGGGGGTGGAGGGATGGGGTACTTGGGTAATGGGCATTACGGAGGGCACGTGATGTAATGAGCACTGGGTATAAGACTGATGAATCACTGAACTCTACCTCTGAAACTAAGTACTATATTACAGTGTTAATTAATTGAATTAAATTTAAAAATTTTTTTTAAAAAAGTAGTTTACGACCGGAGTGCCTGGGTGGCTTAGTTTGTAAAGCATCTGTCTTCAGCTCAAGTCTTGATTCTAAGGTCCTGGGATCGAGCCCCAAGTCAGGCTCCCTGCTCAACGGGGAGTCTACAACCTCTCCCTCTCTCTCTCCCCCAACCCATGTTCACTCTCTCAAATAAATAAATACAATCTTAAAAATAAAAAAGTTAACAACCAAGTGGGAACAAGGTGGTAGAAGCAGTGTGGGTGAATGCCATGTGGGAAGACAAGAAATGCCACAGGAGCTCAGAGAGGGAGGGCTGGGCACTGCATGTGTGTGTTGCCTGCCAATCCTACCATCCATGGAAGCTCCAGCCTCTTCCACCACAGGCTTCTCCTACCCCTTGCATCCCGAGTGTCTCCTCAGGAGCGACAACAGTATTTGCTTCCCTGAGAGGAGGCTGGCTCTCCCCCATCCTACCTTTAGCTATTGAAATACTGCTCATTCCTGAAGCTGATCACAAATGTTATCTTCTTACCTAATTCCCCGCTAAGATGCTACTGTTACCACCATCCTCTCTGCCTTCAGCTAACTTTGCTTGCCTCTTTCTGTAAGGTGCTCAGCACACCTATGTGGTGGCAGAAGTACCTGTGCATCTGGTCTGAGAGTTCTTACTAGCATCCTCACCGGAATTGGACACTGCGCTACTCTATCATCTCCAGGCATCTGCCTAGACAGCTCAACACAGAGGAGCTAGCTCTAGGAGCTAAGAAGAGCCTTGAAAATAAGCTTCTTTACCAAATCTCTGTCACGCAGAAGCTTCAAACCAGAAGGCCCCCAACAAGACCAGACCACTTACCTCCTTCATAGCCATCAATTCGCCAGTGTCGACACTGATACAGGTGTAGACCTTCCCATACTGCCCCTCCCCTGTGAACAGAACAAACATACCATCTCAGTCACCAAAGAAGGCCATTTGAAGTCACTCAGATGTGTAGTAATGTTTCCCAAGTCTGGATCTATATTTATATAATCTATAATTATCTACTATTCCAAGACCCAAAATGTTCCCCAATAACTGAAGGCAATCTCTTCACTAAGCCTTACCTGTAAATATCCGTAGGGTAGAAGGAACTTTGGCAAACCCTAGAGGAAGCATAAAGGAACAAAGGTGCATACTTCTAAGCCCTTACAGTCCTTGAGGAGGCCAGGGTCCGGGGTGGGGGCACCGTCTAAGTGCACCTTGTTGTGGCAGTCCAGGGGTGGGTGGGAGTGTATATTTTACCAACGTATCTTTGGGGACATTAAGCGAAGGGGACGGGACATATAGCAAAGACCAACAACATAACTGATAACATTTATAAAGCACTTGGTTTCTTCTGTGTCTTCTGCCTTAATTGCTAGCTCTACAGAACCTTAAGGGTATCCTGGGCTCACAGAGTCCTATTATCACAATCGTGTTAGCCTCTTCAGAACCAAACACTCCATTAAGAGATGCATTTAAAAGACAGAAGGATCTGAAACATGGTCAGGCTGCTTCTGTCACACAATCCACCTCTAGTTATAAGAGGCACTTGACTTGGAAATTAATAACAGGCAATGCTTTAGGAAGGACGGTCTCTCTTCAATAATGTTCTTGAGGGAATAAGGTCATAAGAACATCAACAGGAACAAATGGGTAAAATTTACATAGTTTTCCATTGGCAACTTCTGGAGTTATCATGCAAAAACTACTCATTTTAATGAACCATTTAAAAAAAAAATCTTTCTAGGGGCACCTGGGTGGCTCAGTGGGTTAAGCGTCTGCCTTTGGCTTAGGTCATAGTTCTGGGATCCTGGAATGGAGCCCCACGTTGGGCTCCCTGCTCAGTGGGAGTCTGCTTCTCCCTCTCCCTCTGCCCCTTCCCCTGCTCACTCACTCTCAAATAAATACATATATACATCTTTTAAAAAATTTAAAATCTCCTTTGTATTGTTCTTATAACACATTTTACTGAAACATTATTTACACAACCTAAAAACCAGAACCCTCTGCAAAAGATATGCTACATCTACCAGAGATAAGAATCAGTTATACAACTTAACCTAAAAAAGTGTGACTGTTGCTGTTTCTAACAGAGGTGAACTCTATGTCACATTGCTCCATTTCCTTACCAATTTTGTTTCCTCTTTGCCACTTGAAGGTCACCTTCCTCAAGCCTACATGCATAACGTTATCATATGATTTAGGGGTATCACAAACTTGACCAATGATATTCTTTCTCCTCATTTCTCGATACCTCTTTTCTTCAAACAGTCGGACTGATTTCTGGATAGCTTCTATGGGTCCTTGTTTGGAAGCACTGTCTGCAGGGAGAAACAAGCTCAGTAGTCCCAGTCACTAGAAGTAAGTCAACGTCCAGCAAATAATAGAAAGAGAGCAATACACATGAGCACTTGAGCACAGCAAGGCTTAGCATTCTCTAGTCAGATACCCAGCAGGTGCATTCAAGTCCATTCCAATCCAACAGCTCCAGAGGATGTGCCACCCACTGCACAGACACACACATAAAATATAGGCTCGTCAGGCAGAGCTGATGACTTCACCCTCCCACACTGCTGCTCAGACACTGGAGTGACTTCCTACCTGCCACCAGACTCTCCATCTCCAGTCCACTCTCATTGGCCAGTATTGTCTTACTGACACATAAAATCTGGTATGTTCCTTTCCTACTTAGATTTATTTCACGGTTCTCAACAAACAGTTTACCAAAAATCCAAGCCCTTCATCTGGGATTGTAGGCCGCGCAGATTTTGGACTTGGTTTATCTTTCCCAGTTTGCTCCTGTCAGTATTCTCCCTCTCTTCTTCTGCCACAGGCCCCAGATGAACCAAACTAAACAGACTCGTAGAACAAACACTCCAAGCCGTTTCTGACACTTATGTTCACACTTTTCTGCTGGTCTAAAAAGCTGTCTTCCCACCACGGTGTCTGGGGTGTACATCTCACCAATAGCTCAGCTGAAATATCATACCCCTTTTCAGAAGCCGTCTTGATGAGAAGGGAATTAAGTTGTCCCTTCTCTGGGAAGAGTCCAGAATAAAGGCTCTGGAACCAGGATGCCTGGGATAAAGTCCTGGCTTCATCATTTTCCAAGTGGGCAAGTTAACTGACTTCTTCATATATCGAACTCCTAATTTGTGAAATGAGGGTAATAATATCTCATGCACAGACGGCACTACTGTATTTAAGGAAATCATACATTCAAGGTGCTAAGCCCTATGCCTGGGACACAGCAATATTCAGTGAGATTTAAGTTACTTTTGTTACTCTTCCTTACCTTCTCATCAGGTTCTATATCTCTAGTTCTCCAAATTATTTGGTCATGACTTACAGTAAAAAATAACTTTTACACATACAGATATCTAAAAAAGTTTCATAAAACAGTATTACTGTTACCACATGTGATTCAGACTCCACCCTATGTTTTTAAATGCTGACTTTACAACCCACAAACGGGTTATGACCCATAATGTGAAAAGCACTGCTTTGTACGTGTCCCCATTACAGTCCTCCTCATGTTGCATCCTCACTAGCTAAGAGCCTCGCTTTCTGGCCAACAAAGAGATCACTAAGGACTAGTATGGCTGTACGGTTAATTTGAGAAGAGAAATTCCCCCAAGGTTTATAGTGTTCTAACTATAGTTTCGCACTATAACCACTTCTTAACAACAGGAATCGCTGTTTTCTTTACCTCAATATATGACACATCAGGTCTCATGGGCACCGAACAAGATTTCACAGCTATGAGCCCATGGACTCCACTGTCAAATATTTCTGGGAAAGGCATTTTGGTTTTGTTTTACAGTAATTATTTCTCAAGATTTCTCCATCTTTGTTACTGTGAACTGTAACTATCCCAAGAGTTCCCAAGTTCTCCTGACCACAAAGTATTTGTTTTGAAGATTATCACAAAGAGTTGGCATGTATGGGAACTTCTGCTGACGTGAGAGTTGCTGGAGACCCAAGCTCCAGCTCGTGGCTTTCCCTGCCCTAAGCCCTCCACATACACCTCACCTGCCCCAGGCTGGGCAAACAATGCATCAGAGTCATTTCTTCCACTTTGTTCCTTTTTTTAAAATCCCACCTGAGTCTGGTGTCTTGCACGGCACCACCATAATGATATGCTAACCAACCTCCTTATTTCCCCCCACTCCAAGCAGCTCCCACCATCTCTCCTATCTCCTCCTCCCCACACCCAGAACACACCAGGTGCTCAAGAGGCTGCAGGGCTGCTGACCATCTCAAGGTGAGGCCTTCATCCCTTAGCTGTCACTGAAGACTGGCCACAGTCTAACTTCTCCCAGCCCCTTCGTGTTCGCCACCTCTTATATCTACACTGCCCAATCCAGCTGGCTTCTTCTTTCATCACTGGGCCTCCCTCTGGATGTGTTTCCTACTCTGTACTTTTCCTCCTGGCTTGATGCAGATCTGTTTTGATATAAGAGTCAACTCAAGCCTCACCCTTCCATAAACCCCCCACCCCCCCGCCAACTATTTTCAACTTTGGTGGACAATATACTTCCAAGGGGAGAACACTGGTATGAGCACTGGACATGTAGATAGAAGCAGTGTGCGCCTGCCCCAGCTCTGTCAGTTATCACCTTGGCCAACTATTTGGCTTCTCAAAAACTTCATCAGAAGAAGACATGAATAGTTATTCAGTTCACAAATATTAATTATATTCCTACCATGTAGAAAGAATTATGTGAAGGGCCCACCCAAAGTGACATAAAGAATTAACTACCACCATAGCTTAAAGAATATAAGATGAATAAAACATGTTCCAGATCCAAAGGAGCTTATAATTTATTATAAGAAACAGGAAATGTATACACAGTACACATAGGAAGTAATGTCACAGGAATAAAAGAGATCACAAAATATTAATGAAGAACTAATAATTCAAAAGCTAAAGCATATTTTAGCTGAAACTGCTTACTTTATGCTTCAATATTTTAAGTTCAACATTCTCTCTCTTACCCTTAGTCTGGCTGATAAGTGTCCGAAGTTCCCAACTTCTTCGAGCTGACCCACTTGAATCACCTTTTGGATACGCTGGTTCTGCAGGAAGTATGTTTTTCACAAAATTAAGATTTATGGAACAGATAAGCCTATGTAATCGAGAGTAAGACTGAAATGGTGCGTGGCAATGATTAGTTCCCATCAATCTGTCCTTTCGTAATTAATTTCTATTTGATGTGAGTGTGAGAAGCTACCTTGACAATTAATTCCAGAAAACTATACCAGACTAAGAAGTTGTCAATGATGTTACATGATTTTGACTACATGAATTTTCCACACATGACAACAGAATACTGAGCAGAAATTAGATTCTCTAGGGACCCCATTCAAGAGGCCCTGCATTATAATAAAACCTCAGTGCATCATTAACAAACTTAGTGCAGGTTCATATTTTTAAAGAGAATAAGAGTGCCTGGCAATTAAAGTAGCAGACATAATATATTTTTAAAAAACCAAAACTAGAAGATCTAGAAAATGCAAATACAACTAAAAGGCATCTATATTAAAAAGCCAACACACATTGATCATCAAGTGTTTTCTGGGAGCTCTGTCATTGTTTTCTCATTCTTCATTTCTTCCTAAGGCATAGACCATAAAAGCAGTAGGAGATTCAGCACCTCACACACTCACCGTCGCGCTCCTCCGTGGGGCTTGAGTGGCGGCTCAAGGACCGAAACTGTAACTCGGCGGCTATAGAAGCCAACCGGTCATTCTCAGGGACACTGGAACCCCTGTTTTGAGATTTTAAAAAAACTGAGCTGTCAATTCAATGGAATTAAAAATGAAAGATCTGTGAGATTCTTCTAGAGTGGTAATTCTCAACTAGGGGTAATTCTACCCACTGGGGACATCTAATATCTAGTGAACACAGGATAATGCAAACAATAGCCCCCAAACAAAGAATTATGCACCCAAAGTGAACAGTGCTGCTACTGAGAAACCCTTCTCTGGGGAAGGAATGGTCAGATTTTTGCTGACACCTGACAGCAAAACACTCTGTTTAAAGTTAAAAACAACAAAAATAGAAACAAAATAGGATTTATTCAAGTGTTACTGGCATGCATGGAAAGCTCCACCATTTAACCCCGGATGGATTAGAAATTATTAGCCAAATATAGCTAACATTTACAATTCTGATCATACTATATATTAATGTACTTAATTCTATTTTTTAAAGTGTTAAAATTATCACATGATTGAAAAGATTTCAAATCTCTTAAGAAAATGGAAGGGAATACCTAATGATTTTCCAAGCGGTAGCCAAGCAAAGGTGCAGAAGAGCAGGAAGCTTAGCATGTAAAGAACAAAGTTAATTTGTTGCTTTTCCAGAATAAAGTTAGGTGTGTTTAGAAATCCAGAATGAATCCATAGACAGTAAAACCCAGAATTAAATAAGGGAAGTGTTAAAATTACAATTCGAGTAATCCATGATAAATATGGCATGAGTTTATTAACACATTCAGTGTGTACTGTGTGTATGAGCGATATTATGAAGTATGGTAGCATTTATGCTCTTTTCCAATATACACTGAATAGATTTAAGGGGACATGGTTCTACTGAACAGATGCTCAGAGATTATGAAGTATGCAATGCTTTTTATTTCCCTAAACTCTCTTAAATCTAGTGTAATACTTGTTAAGTCTGAAAAGAGGGGGACATCCTCTATTGCCATGTAGTTCATCAAAAAGTCTTGAAGCCACTTCATGGAAAAAATCACTGATGTTGAAGAGACAAGTGACTCCTAAAGCAACACCAAAGACTGTGGTGCCAAGGGGAGGTCACCTGACACCACTATATTCCTGATTTCTCAGAGACCAAATCAGACCATATCCTCAGAGACTTTTGCTAGGGTAAAAGGCAAAAAATATACTTAAAGCAAATAGCATGTGAGTGAATGTTTAACTACTAGTGGTAGAGTTCCGCAAGTTCAGTAGTGTAACAATCAGCTTGCAAAATTCCTGAAAAATTAACAATCAGTCTCACAAAGCAGCAAGAGCCAGCTCCAACAAACAGAACACCACAAAAAAGTCTTATCAACAATGGTAAGATAACTGAAGTCCAGACTATTTCCTAAGTCAAATAAAATAAAATAAATAAAAGCATTTATAGGATGCTGTGGGGCACAGTTAAGATTTCACAGGGCTCATGGGTCTCTAGGACAAGAAGGACTGCACACTATGAGGCAGGGGCCTTCCTGCTGAGGCTGGAAGTCCTGGGCATCACTCTACTTCCCCTGCAGCACATTCACAAACCCTGGGCCGTACAAGCCATCGGCAGGGAGCAAGCTTGCCACTACAAAGGGGCTGAAGCCCAAAGTCAAACTTAACATGTGCCAGGCTTGAACGCAGGAGCAAAGTAAACCACCACTGGGGCGCACATCTCCACCGGGCCTTGCTGCTCAATGCCTGCTGTCACGTATACACAACCAGAGAGTAGAGAGAACTTTACTCTTTTGTAAAAACTGCCCTTCAAGATGGCACACTATGATGGTGGTAAAATTTCTGTGTGTCAAGAGCCATCCCAAAGATGAACACTTAGGAAGTACTATTCACAACGGACTGAAAACAACTTTCACAAAGCCTGAGACTAAATGCACAAGAAGACCGGCCACATGTACTTCACTTTTACGCTAACACATGCTTCATGAACCACACCTCTGACTCACAAATGCCTTAAGTCACAGTTCACGAACCCCGAAAAAAAGAAGAGCATTCCTCCCTTTTCTAGTTTGCAGGAATGGTGTGCAAACATGGACACAGCGGGCCATGAAGTGTTCTCAACTGAGTCTGCTCATGAGGGCATATGGCTTCCCTTCGCCCTGTGTTACTCTCATGAAAAAGACAATTTCAATGCCTCCCTAAGGGACAGGAGAGCAGATGTGGGAACATTTGCCATGAAATGTTCTAAACATAAAAATGAAGAAGGAAAAGGGAACCTGTTTAATGGTAACTGTTAGTTGTTTTGGTTGACAGCTGAAGCTATAAAATACATTGACTTTTTTAGGTTATACAGGTTTATCACTACAAACTGGGAACATTTGTTATTTTAATGAATGGAAGAATGGCAATGTTTGTTTGCCAAACAATTTTAGACTGTTATAAAGTAAGTCTAAAAACATTTGAGTGCATTTTCAATTCTAAAGCCACATGTCATCTTTCTGCCAACATACTAATATTTTTTCTGTGGAGCAAGATACAGAGCCCTGGGTTCCTTCAGTTTCATCTTTTTTGATCAGGTTACCCTCAACTCATATAGTTTATTTGACTCTATCACTATCTTTATCAGGAGATGAGAATAGTGACTGTGTGTGCCCTCTGCTAGACATGAGGATAGAATTAAGAGTGACCCAATGTCATTTGTCCATTGAGTATATGAGGCCTTGATGAAGCTCTCTGTCAAAACTAACGAGAGTGGGAAGAAGTGTAACAATACTCCTTACCTATACAGACGACTCATGCAAGAGACTTTCCAGAGCTTGGCAAGTATCTGATAGCTCTCTCTAGTAATGATACATTCTCTATATAAGATACAAACCCCACGAGCTCACTTTTCCACTTTCATAAACTACTTCTAATCAATAATTCTATAAATCAGAAAATCTTGTTAGAAAAGGGATCCTCCTAAAATGCAAATTCCCACCTAACGGTGTTAACTAGAAGCCATCTCTGAACTTCCTTGGGACCCTCCAGAAAGGCACCACTTGCTGAATTTTTCATGTTCCCTTCGGTAGGGACCAGGTTCTTTGGTCTGTTACTCTCACCAAAGAGTTGTTACTGGCAGGACTCTGGTCATTCTGGTTAATATTCGCTCCAAAGAAATATTAATCAGGCAAATTATCTACTGGTGCTGCTGGGTGTGAGAGCCTTCAGGTTGTGCCACCCCATGGGCTGCCTCCCAAAGCTGAGGTCCCTGCGGGAGTGCACAGGAGAGGGCCGAGGAGACAGGATGCTGGGGAAGGGTGACTACCTGGTATCATGGGCACTGCTGATGGGTTTGGGTGGTGCAGAGTCACTGCCTGCGGGGCCGGGGCGACCGGCGGTGGCAGCAGCAGCAGGGACAGGAGCAGCAGCAGGGCTGCCGTGGCTCCGTGCGTCTGAAGGCACGCTCCGAGTGCTGAGATGAGAAGAAGAGCTTTAGGAACACAGGTTGAGAAAAGGGACTGGACTCTCCAGTGGTTTTCAATTAAAAATAAAATAGGGTGAGGAAGTGAAAAATATTTAAAAATATAAAACGCAAATTTTCCTTTCAATGAGATTCAGGTCTAGGTATAAAAAAGAAAAACACTAATTATTCTGAAAAATAACTGTGGTCTTTTCCTAGCAAATATTGTCAAATAAACTTAACTTTTAAGAAGTGATTCTAATAGGGGAGAGAAAATGTTCACTCCCTCAGGATGCAGAAATGCCACCACATTCAAGAAAAATACTTTGTACGAGTTTCAGAACTCAGTTCAGTATTTAAGTTGCTTCAAGGTTACATACACACATGACAGTCAAGACTAGAAAGATCATTCCAATTTTTTCTCCATTTCTAAAATGATGTTTAGGATTGTTTTTCAAATGCTTACTGTGCTATGCACACTCAAATTTGTTTTCGTAAGGTCATTTTCAAAGAAAAAAGAATTATTCCAAAGCTGGTGAGCATTTAGTAGCTTGAGGTTATAAATAAGCTGAGAAACTAAGTTATCTGGAAAGGTACAAGTCTGTTTTAAAGTCACATGTCTTTTTCTCTTGCAATTAAGGCATTGTGGTACATTTTCGAGATAATGCAATTAAGAGCTTTTAAACAGTATGAACAAGAACAAAGAAGAAATACTTAGTGATCAGAGCAGGCACTCAGTAGCGTCAGAGCATAAGCATGCACAACACAGAAGAATCAAATGGCTAGATGAGCACCAAGTACCTGAATCCCTCTGGAGTCGGGATAATTAGATGTGGGTTGGGAGGGTCACTATGGCATCGTGGTACCTTCACAGGGCGGGGACTGTTCCGATGAATAGCTGCCAGTGACAATGGCGACAAATCCAATTTGTTAAAAGGGTCAAAAGAAAATGCTGAAGCAGGCCACTAAACACTTAACTTTGTTGGTGACCAAAATAAACCCATTATATAAGAAAATCATATCACATATACAAACATTGTGGAAAATGGCACTTTTTAAAAATTAACAAAAGGTATATTACACATTCAAATTTTTAGCATCAAAAGCATCTCCCAAATCCTGGAGAGAAAGTACATGATGTACACAAAACAAACAATGTGACCCAGTTAGAGACTGAGATGTGTCATCTCTGTAATAAAACAGAGTTCTTTATGCTTGCTACATTTTTAGAAAGATTCTGGCCCGTGCTGACACTTGAACAGATTCTGAGTCAGGGACGGTCACTGCCATTTTCCTGAGTACATGGAGTTTTATTTAATTCCTTTAAACAAACAAGGAGGATCAGACACAGATTAAACAGGTTATTCTTTTTTCAGAACACATTTTCTTCTCTACTTAAATATTCTGGTAAAAACGAGATAAAATTTAAAATAAAAATTTACAGAGCCCTTGCCTAGTGATTACAGAAATGCGGATAATTCTCTCCTCGGAACTAGACACAACTAGCATAGCATATGTGTTACATTTTGTCTATTTCACCCTGACACGTGTCCTCTTCCTTTTGACTTGGTTTTAACCCTCCTTAATTTTTTAAGGGTCATATTTTCTCCTTATATGAATTTCACTCCACATTTTATTTAATCTACATATTTTCTCCTCATGTGAATAATTTTACTCCACGTTTTATTTAATCTATGTATGTTTTATCCTAAGTGGAAATACATTCTTCTTCATGGTTCTGGTTGGTCTGTTGTCAATGATATTACACAGGAAAGACCAGAGTCCCCAAAATGGAGCGATCTGAAGGGAAAACTTGTGAAGCAAAAATCAAGCAATTTTTAAGAAAACAGTCAATTTGTGTCTCTGGCTCATTATCTCAACAGTTACAATAGTAAATGAAAGAACTCCAATAGTAACAAAGGTAAAAAGAAAAAAAAAACAATAAAAATGCTTCAGGAAGGAAGGTGATGTCTTTAATTCAGCAAACATACTGGGGACTTTGGAGTCAAAAATCACTAGAAAACTTCCCCTTCAAGATGTAAAAGAAAGACATGCTGCTAGAACACATGCATGCAAGTTTCACATTCTTCATATGAACATTTCTTTTAAGAGTTGATATAACTAACTGCTGCAAAACTGTGATATTTCATTGAAAAGAAAAGCCAAAAGGTCAATAAACATAAAACAGATGCTCCAATTTCACTGGCAGTTATTTACTACAGAGATGTTTTTCATGGGAAAAACTAACAAAACAAATGTCCACAAGGAAATGGTGCAAAGCACTGTACTATGCCCATAGTGGACACAATGCAGCCCCCTAAGGAGAATGAACTGGATCCCTAACTGCTGACCAGAAGGAATATCTACAGTTGTCAGGTAAGAGAAGCCAGAGATTAACATCTAATGTGATCCAACTTTTATACAGCAAAACCAACAGCCCTGTCTGTGCTTGTGTGATGACAGGAGGATAAAGAAGGCACGGCGGAACGCACCTGTATAATTACGTGAGCACACAGAACCTGGGGAAGGCTCTCCACCAGGCTGTTATCGGTGGCCACAAGCGTAGAGCAGAGGGAGAGGAAGATGGTACACAGCGGGAATGATGGTTGCCATGCTCCCCTTTCACTACTGTTCTTGTAAGGAAAGAACATGAAACCAGATGCAGACTGCTGCCTTGCACAGAACACTACAGTTTACAAAATGTCATGACCTTAGGGAATCCACGTTAGCATCTGATGTTGAGCACTTGCAGAGGAGGTTCAGTGAGGTTAAACAAGCAGCCCCAGGTCATAGGGCTGTCAGGCAATCAGACTCTCAGCCACTCTGTTTCCACCAAACCACACACCCAGAAGACAAACAGCACCTCCAGCCTGCAGACAGCACTGCTAACCTGCTGTCCTACCAGCGGTTTGGGGACAGGCACATGAATAATTAGTGACTCCACGTTAGCAGTGATTACCTATCAATCGTGGAGGTACAACTATTTTTTGTTTCTTCCTTCCGTAGTATTTTTCTACCTTGAACTTTTTTCTACATGTACATTTTCTACATTTCTTTGCATACTCTATATTTTAATTTTGCTACCATGAAAATAATTCCATATATAGTAAAATATTTTAAAGAAGTGATTTTTACTGAATTATTGATCATGTATTCTTAGTGAAATATTTTAGGAGAAAAGAAAATCAAAGTTTTTAGGATAATATGACTATTCAGAAAATTTCATAAGAATAGAGAATGCTATAAAATTATAATATTATATAAAATGTTCAAAGAGTTTTGCGAATGCTTTCATTTCGTAACAGCCCTGGGAGAAAAGGTATAAACTGAGTAACTGAATGAATTTTAAAAACAGAGAAACCAAGCATTAAAACCTGGTCTACTGAATTTTCTGTAGCTAGCAAATACCTTTAAGATACAGTTCCTGCTCAATAAATTTATCATTTATGAATTATTTTATTCTGTGTAATTTAAACTGTTTTAAAATTTCTAAGTTTATATTTATGGATGTTTATTGCATATAAATACATTTTTACTTTTATTTACTATCTCAAGAATGGGGGAAAGCACAGTCTTTTTCTGATACATTCTGTCTTAAAGTTTCAACAAACTCCATAAAACTGTATACTAAACTGTAACTGAAAACTATAATGAAAGTATGTCACAACACAAGTTAACCTGTGTTTTTGTTTGGTTCGGTTTTTTAAGTAAAATCAACTAGGAATACACTCTGTTGCTCGGGAAATTCTTAGCTGTGGAGAATAAACTCATTCTCCATCAAAAGGTGAGGAAGGAGGCAGAACGACCACACTCATCCACCTGCAGGAAAGGAAGGCCCTCCCTTGCTAATAGCCAGCCATCTCTCCAAGTCCTTCCTTCCCAGAAGAAGAGACTTTAAGGGGGTGGACAGAATCAGTGTTGGTGTGCAAAAAAATAATTAATTAAAATGTGCAGTTTAACACTTGCTGGCAGGCAGTGAATACCCTGTGCTGGCATTTTCACCTTCCTGTGAACTGAGTATTGGAGTTCTCCATATACACACCTCATTCCTGTCACTGTCATCTCCCTGAATATTGTTAAAGAACCTCCCTACAGGTGAAGCGTGAATGGCTGCAACTGTAAGATGACGCGTTTGCCCAAGGAGGTGCTAGGGGAAACGTTCTAACTGCCATCTTACCAAGGTACAAACCTGTAACAGGACTGTGTGGCTTTCCTATCACATGGCCAATGCACTCATTCATCAAGGCTTGAAGACTCTAGGAAAATGGGAAAGGACAAGGGAAAGAATGTGCACAATTTTAGCACAAATTAAGCTTTCAGTATATTTAAAAGAAATATGCTATGCTATCCTTAGTGAATATTTTCAAAGTTCATTGGAAAAAAAATAGGTATAAAGATAAAATTAAACACAAACAACACATAATTTAAAGTAATAATAATTTATACCATTAAATTTTTATAAATAAGAGCAAACTAGCATTCAAGTCCCTATAATGCAATGATGTGCACAAGCAAGGGACTTCTATAATCATCTCTACTATTCAGGGGCTAACATGATTGAATTCACATGTTGAACATTGTCTCTTTGAGCTGATGGAATGTCCTGGAATAACAGTGATAATATTTAACATTTGGCATGCTCTTAAATGACACATGCTGAAGTAAAACAGCTAATCCTTGTTCTTCATTAAACTGTTAAAAAGCAGCAACTAATAAGTCAGCACTTTATAAAACTTGAAACTGATAAATATTTTAGAAGTGTCAGGCTTCACAGCTAGCCACTGACTTAGTCGGTTGAACAATACTATTAAAACAAAAACAGAACGTGGAATATCTTACTATGTTGCTAATAGTGCTTTAACTTTCAGCATTATCATTACAGTTATGAAAAAATATTTAAAAACAACTATTAAAAAATACACAATCAGAAACAGTGATCAAGTTATTTCTTTAATAAAAAAAAATTCTAGAATATTTCATACCAAGAAGTCATCTTCTGGCAAAGCTGAAATAAAGGCAGGTTCAATGGCTTGTAGAAAGTCAAAACCTTGCGTTGCCCACCTGTTACATGAGAAAGTTCAATAATCACAAAACCAAGAAAACGCTGTAGTAGTTTTAGTCTATACAATACTGAAAAGTAATCTGGAAAATTATCATCTAAAAAAAATACACTTTTTGTCTTTATGTAAATGCCTGTGGTTGCGTAAATTTACAATGTGTTTTGAGAAAAAAAGGACAAACAGCTTCTTAATAAAGGAACTGGTTTCCAATTTGTTTCCATTTATGTTCATAAAAGGTTTAAGTTTCATGAGGGAGGGAAAAAAATTAGCCATCAGGAAGACCTATGCAGGGAGAATGTGAACTTCCTTAAAGTTCACTCATTATGGAACAATTTTTTTTTTAAGTTTTCTAAGAATTATGGAGTTTTTTGGTTAATAGTTTCATTTAAAAACAAAGCAAAATCCTTTTACTGAAGAGTTCAAAATGCTCCTTTTTGTGTCATCTGCTCAGAAATCTCACATAAAATATATAAATGCAGTACTATCAATCCCACATCCCTCACTTATTCTTCCATTTTCCTGCTTCACAGGCTGCTCCAACTCTCTCTCTCTCTGGAGTAGGAGTACTGAGTTACTTGCAGCTCTAGGAAACATCTACTTGGTCATTACCTGGGTCTTGTACCTCGACCACTCTCACATTTAGTTAGGACATAGTTCATCCATTTCCGGGCAAAGCTTATATATTTGTCTCCTATCTTCTGTCTAAATTCTCCAGACATCAAACGAACAACTTCTTTATGATACTGTAAGAAGATTTTGCATAAATCAAAATTAAGAAGTAATGCTACATCTGTTTAAAATGTCATTTTTCTAAAAACAAAAAGCAAACTCCAATTGAAATTGACATATTTTCAAAAGGATAAAGAGTTACAGATAATATTATGTCTTAAAATGCAGTTTCACCAATGTTTTACTAAATTCAAATTACGAATGTACTTTCATGATATTAAGTATCTCTTAAAGAAGATTTTGAAATGTAAGTAGAAAGCTAATGTTAGCACAAAACAAAAACTAGGCAACTGACAATTTCAAAGAAAACCAACATTTCTGATCCTCAGCAGTGGGTAAGACGACATTCTTGACTAAGCTGTGATTACAATCAGTAATCTGATTTGCTGTACAAGGTTCATAATACTTTTGGTAAGTAAGCCTCAGAGCAACTGTGAAGTTCACTGTTCGTTTCCTCTTATTTTGAACCTACCTCGAACCCAAAGTTGTAGCCCTGAATCATTGCCTCTCGGTAGTACTGTTGCAATGTGACAGACTCTGATTCATCAACTTCCGCATCAAATTCTGAAGTGAACATGTGGTCCACTCGGTCAATGGCATCGCTTATTCTGTTGCAAAGCTCTAGTGCATCATTCTAAAGAGTCCCAAACCACAATTAATCCAAAAAAAGCAAATCACTTAATAGTTAACTATATTATAGAGGAAGATATCTCTCATCATCACAGACATTAACAATCATTGCAATATATTTTGGTCATACTTATTTTGGTTATTCAAAAATAAAGGAAATGTATTATTTATTTATTCATTATTTTCATCTTTATTTGTATTAGATATTCTTTAACATCTTATGAAATAAAAAAGAAAAAATCCATTTACAATAATAATGCCTAATGACTATGTGGTCTTTAAATAGATGCTTTCATTCAATATTTTGCGTATCAACCACTAGCTGCTTTTTTCCCCTGGGTGGTTGCTAAAGTATGATTTCAATCTAACAGGAAGACTCTGTATTGTCCTCTTAGCTCCCTGCCACTCCCTAGGTTCAGGGGTTCTCAGCTGGGGTTGATTTTACCCCCTTCTGCCAAGGGGACATTGGCAATATCTGTTTTGGTTGTCCAAACCTAGGGAGATAGGGGGTGAAATCTACTGGCATCTACGGTGTAGAGACCATAAATGCTGCTAAACATCCTACAAAAGAGGACAATTCCCCCCAAAACAAAGAATTATTGACCCAAAATGTCAATGCTGCAGAGGCTGGAAATCCCTGCCCTAGTTCACACTGTTGTCTCCCTAAGCAGGACTACGATCACTCCAAATTGGACCCCCTTCCACTCACTCTTACAAACACGTGTATGTACACATGGTCTCCACTGGTAATACCCTAAATACCTTTCCAAACTATTCTCCCTAGATCTTCAACTATTTGATGTGGCTTCGAAAAAATAAAATCCCAAATCTCTCAATAGCCTGATTTTTGCCCACCTGATTTTACCAGCGTTATCTCCCATGACTTTCCACTGTACATATCAAGGTCTAGTAAAGTCAGACTATTTGATATTCAGTGACCAGTCCCAGCACCCTGACCCAGGGACGCCAATGCCCAAATGTTCCTTCCCAGTTTGTATCTTCTGAAATCCTCCAAGCTAAAATGCCCCCATGGTGGCAGCTTCCAGATGTGACCAGGAGGATCTAGCATCTCCCTTCTCAGTACTTCAGTGTCACACTTCAGGTCATACTCAATCCACTGTAAATTCCTTAAGCTCAAGAATAATCAATATCGTATATAATTTTGCACTCCCTGGAGTTCATTGATTTAAATTGAAAGAACAGTCTGCTGCACTGGTATTCGAGTGGGATGGCAACCGACAAGAGAACAAGTTTCTAGGCAAATGAGACAAATCAGACTGACAGAAGAAACAAGGCATATCAAACTACTTATAGTTTCAAGAACTGCTGCTTCTTCAAGAAGTCAAGCCTTACTGTGATGAAGGCATAACTGATGGCCTGTAGAAAAGCGCAGATCAGACCAAAGCCAATGAGCAGAAGGCCAGGTAGAGGTAGTGAAAACAGGAGATAATGGGAAAAGAAGGTGAGGCTCTGGCTTGCCCTGAACTTTGAAGGGCTAGTGCCTGTCTACAACCGGCTGTCTCTACTACATTTAATTTTACTGAATTATCAGTTAAATAAAAGAAAAAAATAAATTTTCTTTTAGATTACACATTACTGATATATATATGGAAGTACCTCTAGCAAATACTTGTCATTGCTAAAGAAGAAAGAAACCTGGATGAGGAGTAAAGAGATCTAAATTTTAGGTAGGCTGCTAACCAACCATGTGGCCACTCAGAAGTCACATAACTGGTCAAATTTCTATCCCTTCCAATTCTAACACTTTATGGTTCCAAGACAGATCTGGGAAGTCTTTAGTGAAGACATGGGACAATGTTTATTGGGAAGAGGAAGAATGGTGAGGACCTTGTAAGACTTTGGGTTCCTCGGTTGATATGACACTGTAGCACACAGACCCTTCCACACTAAAACCAAGGGGCTCAGGCGGAGGTGGCAGCGACATACTTTTAACTGCTGTAAAGCTCTGGCAATGACCGGCTGACTGGACGTCTGCTCCTGGCGGAGAGTCATGAGTCCTTCGATGGACTGCTGGAAAGCTTTTCTCTGGATGGTGAGATGTGCAGACTGCATGACAACTAGTAAAAGATTATCCACCTGGGAGGAGAATTAAGCACAGGGCTGAAAATCAGATCCACTTACTGTTTCCCATTCTAGCTCAATCCTTAGTCCAGAACAATGCCAACCTCATCAGGGCTACCAGTAGCTCAGTACTCCTGCAACAGTATATGTGTATGTGCGTGTGTGTATGCGTGTGTCGGAGCAGCCTACGAAGCTGGAAAATGCAGGAATAAGAGAGGGTGAGATGAGTGGCCTTTCATGAAACAGAAGAAAACGAGACTTTATTGTTTTTTTCTTTTAAGTGACAGTGAGTCACTGTAGGAGTCTGCATAGAAGAGTGTGTGATGTGATCAGTTATATATTATAACGTCATTTTCCAAGTATCCAGACACACACACACACACACACACACACACACACACACACAGGCTTCGAGAGAGGGCAGGTGAGGCTGGAAGCAGGGAAACTAAGTGTGACACTGCAATAGGCCAGGACAGGATGACAAAGTCTGACCCTGGCAGTGGCTCTGGACAGCAGAGAGAGTGTCATTTCCCAGAAATGCTTTGGGTGTGTGAGGGCTGGTGATGACCTAGAAGGGTAAAAGAATTTCTGTTGTCACATTCTGGCTTAAACAACTGAGTGGACAGAGCACCATTCTCTGAGACAGGGAGCACAAGTGGAGGAGTGGGTCACGTGAAGCCAAAAGGACAGGAAGCCAGGGTGTTCAGCTCTGGCCAGGCTGAGTCTGAGGTGTATATGAGCACTCACCACTAACGTCCGGAATGAGCACAGAGAGAATGAGAAGACTTCTTAAAGGTTTTAATTAACGAGCTCTACAAACCATCATGGGATCTCTGTAGGGTAGGCAGGTAACAGCCTTTACTACACAGTGTTAACTAACACCAGGTAAACCACAGTGCTCGAAGAAGAATTTCTGAATTACAAATTAAATGAGGGCGATAATTCCTTTTAGATCATGAGTATACTGATTACAGCTGAACTACGTACAGATGTATTTCAAATATTCCAATATAATTTAATATACTTATAGAATTTGAAGGAATATCTTAGTACAAGTTGTAATACAAAATTACTAAAACATTGAGGCCTATTCTTGAGAAGCCCACGCTTGAGATGACTATGGCAGCTAAACCAATCACTCAGGGGCTGCTAACAATTTTTTTTTTTGTAACTAATGCCACTTCAACACAGGGATGTGAGCAATGGCTACAGGAACTGGCAATGACACATACCTGCATGCTTCTCAGGGTGTCGACGGTCTCGACCTGAGGCACAATTTTGACAGGTCGTGCTTCCCATGAGGCCCAACTATCCTCTGAATCCCGAGTGCGATCACTCTGCTTGGTTAGCAACAGATAGGCATCAATCAGTACATCATCTGACTCTTTCGAACAATCTTTTCCTGCGGCTGCATTGAGTAACTGCAAAATAATGTTCTTCTCCTCAGCAAGAGTGTCTGGAACAAACACTTGCAAGTTTTCTAAGCCAGGAATCTGTACCTGCAGAAGAAATGATCCAGAATCTCAGATGAGGGAATGTCACATGTTATAAAAATGTTATTTAAAATAAACAAAACCAGGGAAAGACAAGCAGGTGTGAGAAGGTGTTGAGGGCACTGCAAGAATCCCACTCCAATGTGACTGAAGTCAGGGAGAGCACGGGGGTACTGTGCTGGAGGCCTGGTAGAGCTTCTCCACCCACTGGGCAATCCTCTATTTTATTGTCAATAAGCAAGAAAATACCCTTCAGAGGAGGAATGCCAGCCTGAAACGACCTCAATCGATGCTACTTTGTGATAATTATGGAAAGTCATCTGACTTGGTAAAAAGACAAATATGGATTCGCTAATCATTCTTGGTGGGGGATCACAAGAAGCCTTTTAAAGATCATTTTAATAAGGATTGTGCAAATCACATATAAGTACAGGTGGGATAAAATCTCCAGTAACAGTATCATACAGAGAATCTACAAGTACTGAAACTCAAATAACTTTAATGGTGGAGCAAAGATAAGGACTCAAAAAGGAGCTCTAGTGATGAGCAGGGTACTGATGGCAGAAGGTCCTGTAAAAACTCTGAATTCTTTCAGGAAATGTAAAGGTAAAAAACAAAACTACTACTTAAAAATCAATTATCAGAGGCACCTGGAGGGGCTCAGCCAGTTAAGCATCTGAGCTCAGGTCATGATCCCCAGGATCCTGGGACCGAGCCCCAAGTCAGGCTCCCTGCTCAGCAGGAGGGCTGATTCTCCCTCTGCTGCTCTCTCCACCCCCCTCTATCGTGCTCTCTTGCTCTCTCAAGCTCTCAAATAAATGAATAAAATCTTTTTTAAAAAAATCAATGATTATTTATTTCATTATTTTGCACTATTTTAGATACATTATTTTAAATACATATAACTAATATTAGTACGAGTAAATATTTGATTACTTTATTTGCATTCTATAAGCAAGTTAGTAAGTATGAAAAGGTTTGTTTTTCTGGTGATTTCACTGAAAAATTATGAGAAAGTCTTATCACTGGAATCAATATATCACCAGCAAAGCCTGCAAAATTTACTATCTGGATCATTAAGAGAAAATTTTCCAGGAAAAGCAAAATATTCCAATTACACCATCTTTAATATTTACCTTAACATACTGCTTTGATTTCAGAACATCCAGAAGGTCTCTAATGGGGGCTGAAAGTATGAACTCTGCTGCTATTTCCAGGTCCTAGAATCACAGTTACAAAGAAACTTCTTTAGGGTTAACTTTTAAAAAAATAGTAAGATAAAAGAAAAAATTGTAAAAATCAATCAGGATTGTGAACTCACCTTTCTCAACATTTTAGCAAATCCAAGCGCCTTGGAGGCTCTTTCTCTAGCTTCGTGAAAAAGCTCCTTCAGAGCTCGACTGATCTCTATAACGGATCTCCTGCAAAGATGATTGAAATCCAGTTAGGGTACATTAGAGTATACCAAGAAATAGAAATAAGGATGAAGCAAATTCCAAATCATATTAATAAAGACTGAAAAAAAATGGGAAAAAGCAATTATTGAAAATGTACTTGAAATATTCAGAAGCTTGCTCTCTTGTGGTTTTTAGAAACCATTTGTATTGTTCAAATAAGTAAGGCACATACAATAACATGCAAATAACAGTAAACTTAATTTTCTATTTCCTTATAATAACTTCTTGGAGTTTGAAATAAAGTTCTTAAGTTGACTACCAGCTCAGATCTTACTAAGGAGGAATATATATACACAATGGCAGGCTGGTAAATGCTTAACAACTGGCTCCCCTCAAAGAACTATCATATGTGGTGTTTGGTGATTTTTGGGGGTGTATAGGCTCCATCATCCCTGCCTGCAGGTTACCAGTGTGACAGCACTGAACAATGACTGAAGAGATGTGTGCAATAGCACTTTTGCTCTCTGGAGCCAGGATGAGCCAGCCCCATCACACCACTGCACATGAGCCTACTTTTTAGATCCATCTCTAGTAAACAATCAGAGCATCATCAGAACTGTTCTCTAGTTCACCATCTTAGATCTCCAATTTTCCCTGCTTATTCTGAATCCATTGTGTTAGCACTCAAAACTGCAGGACCTTCTACAAACTGACTCATTTTGATCCTCAGCTATTGAACATTGTCCCAGGTAAGAATCTGTGAGGACACTTCTTGCTTTAACCCTGGCATGATAACATCTCAGGTGTTCTGAAATCCAAAATGTGTTTTTCATAAAATTTTGGATGGTGAGAGAAAACATTTCAGCTCTAGAGAAGTCAGTTCCCCTTGAATATTTCCTAAGGTTGAATCATATGATATCACTAGTAATTGGCCATAAAATATGGCTGATATTGCCAAAAAACAGCAATTTAACCTGATCCAAGCTGAATACTATCTAACAGAAGTGGAGGAAATGCAATAGATGCATAAGCCATAGATTCATGTACTCAAGCTTAAAGTTTAACAGAAGGAATAAGCCACGCATAGAAACAGTAACAACATGCCAAGTATCATAAATGTCATATGCTATGGGGAGTCGGGGGTGTGTGTGTGGCAGAAACATATAATTATTTAGAGACATTTCAGGACACAGAGACGAATTCTGTATACTCATTTTTAGTTAACTTACACTCTCCCTCCCTTTTTCTAAAGACACTATTTTCATTAGGCTAACTAAATTCTAAGTTCATCTTCAAAGAAAATTTCATAGAAAATCCTAAGTAAGTAAGACACAAAAATGTAAGATAGTAATAAAGAGAAGTCTTCAGGTCTACTATGGAAATTCCTAACACGGTTGAATTTCTGTTCAGAGCCCATTCTGGGCTCATCGCCATGAGCAGAAGTCAGTGAAATAAGGAAGGAGAAGAGAAGGAGCGAGGCTGCACCTTATTTCGTCTGAGGCATTGGAGTCATCAGCACTGGTCCAGAACTCTGCACAGCTCTCCTGCAAGCCGAACTCTAAAAAACTCCCTGTTGACTTCAGCAGCATCCCTGCAATGTCACTAGAGAACAAGAACAGGAATGTAAATCAGGGAAGAAAAATGGTCCTCGCTCATTCTACTTCTCGAATAGGACACTGAAAGGGTCACTGAAAGGGTCAGCTACTGTTTTAATAGTCTGAAAATCAGTAACAGAATTTTCTTTTACTATAAAATCATGATGAACGTGAAAAAGAGGAACTCTCCCATTAAGGGTAGGTACCTATCTTTGTTCTATTTCCACAGTTTTATCATAAACTTTAAAATCTTAAACTATATTCAAAGCAGCTATGTAATTATTATATAAGTGTAATTTTCATCTTAAGTGTCCAAAATGGTATAAAATAGCCTCAAATATATATCTACAAGATGTTCTTAAAAGCTTAATAAACTAAACAATAGCATAAGAAAACAAAGTGAATTTCTTAAATACAACTGTTTTTCCAAATTTCCCCCACAATTAGCTTTTCATAGTCCAACAACATGACATGACTCACACAGCTGATGCTTCTCATTGAGTATGCAATCTAACTATGGGCTTAAAATGTAAATCCAAGTGTGTACAACAAATCTAAATGAGTGTAGTCAAGATTCAACAGCAGCTTACTGACCACTATGCTCAAGGAAAACAGCTTCTATCTAGTGAAAGAGAGCAGGTATGCATACAGACAGTGTCAGAGGGCTGGACACAGGCCAAACTCAGCAGAAGGCCTGGCTACACTGGGCCCGCAGGTGATGCAGAGCAGTGAGTGGTGAGTGGTGAATGGTAGTGGGAAGAAGGGCTCAGTCGGGAGAGGAAGGGCAGTTGAGGAAGAACAACGAATATGATCTAAAGGCATGAAGACGAGTTAAGTAAGAGGCTTACTTGTGAAAAGAAATTGCACAATCTGAAAGGCATAGAGGGTGGTGGGGTAAGACTGAGAAAGCAAGCTAGGGCCATGATGAGGAAGGCCGTGTGTGTCGCGCTAACTGACTGACCTTCGACTGGTGGGCAAAGAGGCCAGGCTTCAAAAGTAACCAGTAGGTAAGTGACCTGATTACAAACACATACTCTCTCTCTCTTTTTTAAAGATTTTATTTGAGAAAAAGCGAGAGCAAGTGAGGGAGATAGAGAAAAAGAGCATGAGCAGAGGGAGAGGCAGAGGGAGCAGGGAGCCTGACGCAGGACCCAAAACCCAGGAATCAGGACCTGAGCTGAAGGCAGACCATCCAGGTGTCCCACAAACCCATCTTCAAGAACAGTAGTATACAAGGATATCCACGAAGAGTTTACTCCACAAATACTGAGTATATGTTATGTACCAAGCAGCAGTGAGCAGAATAGATAAAAATCCCTCCAATGAACAGAGGAAAAAACAAAAAATAAAGTAAAAAAGGAAAAAATATAATTCAGATATTGTTAAGTGCTATGGAGAGAAATAAAGGAAAGGGAATGAAGATGGACCCCATGAGTAGGAATTTCCATTTTAAAGAAGGTGACACTTAAAGACCTAAAGGGAGTACAAAACAGGTCATCAAAGTAATTGGGGGGAGTGTAACTGGAGAAGAGTAGAGCGACCAGCACGTGCAAAGGACCTCAAGTACAAGTGTGCTCAGCCTGGGAACACAATGGAGAAGCCCCTGTGGCTGTGCGGTAAGCCCAGGAGAGCCTAGCAGAAGAGGACAGAACTGCAGTGACAAGTCATAGAGACTATGCCCACCTGATGGGCCACATTCCGGCACTCTCACTCTTCCTGAGGAAGAAGGGAAACCATGAAGTAGTTCGAACAGAGGAGAAAATGCTCTGATGTGCATTTTAACAAGACCACTCTGGCTGTGGCCTTGAGAACAGACCAAAGGGACAGAGGAGCCAAATAGAGAGACTCCTTGGAGAGCGCCTGCAGCCATGCAAGTGGGCTCAAAGCAGTGGGGCCTCCCCTCACCACAGTCAACCTGTCTCCAGACGTTGCCAAATGTCCCCAGGTGGCAACCGGGCCCTGAGAGATGCACACGCGCACACAACTGGTTGTCACATTCACACAACCAAACAGGCCTGGGGGAAGCAGGCGGCTCAGGGGCACAAGGGCTCCTACCAGAAAAGTTTTCCAGCCTGGGCTTCTCCTCCCCGGATATAATGGGTTATTTCTTTGGTGAAATTCCACTCTTCTTCTAACAGGTTTTTTAGACTATGGGATGCTTGAGGTAACTGCTGCAGCATTTGGATCCAGCTTCTCATGTAATCAAAATACACCTGAAAATACAAAAACATAATGGGAGACATCTGACAACGGAAGCCAGCAGCTCCCAACCTTCACCTCTGTCAACCTGGAAACGACACATCAGAAGGGCCAGGTGTAGGCGGACACTGAGGCACGCAGCACAGAGAGAAGCAAGAGTCACAGTACTGCTCTCTGATCGAAGATCTCTCTTCAACTGCACAACTCAACTCGCCGGCAATTTAACCCATTATTTACAATCTCTGTAAACTACCAAGAAAATAAAATGTTCACAATGTACATAAAACTTATAAAACGAATCAAAATAATAGCACCCAGAAATGTTCATTATTAACATACTGTGAACATTATTCCTTTAAGAGGTTTGGATCTTTACTTGTGTAACTGCTTATTTTAACTTTAGACAGCATCTTCCTTGAGAAGAAATGAGTACACTTTTCCCTACCATCCCTTCCTGACACCCAGATTTTTATGACATTGTTTTTTTTTTCCAAGATTTCTGACGTATAAATTATGATTTCTAATCAAAATACCCAGTTTGTATCTACCGTAAGTCCTACGACAACAGCCTTCCCATTCCTAAGTTCTTGTTTAGATTCTCTGCCCTGGGACGTTTAAGGTATTACTCCACCTTTGAATGTTGTGTGTTGTTTGAACGAAGAACCATGACACCGGCCTTGCCTCCTGCTGTCCCTGCTCGCCTTACACCCTGAGCTGCCTTGCCTTTTCTCTCCTTGGAGGTTCACAGGATTCTGGATCTAGTCCTGGATCTCAGTGACCTCACCAGGCTACATCTCAGGGTTCACTGGAATGAATGCTTTCTGAAATCCAGTACTAACTTTCAGTACACAAACCTTAGATCTTTATTTCAAGAAAACTCTTCTGTTGTGTCTCTGGATGCTTCTGGGCCTCCGCCAGCCTGGCTTTGTGGTGGGAATCTGCAGTCTGGGGTCTGCATATGTGGAACCCACAACTTACAGATCTACCATCATCTTTGCCAAATGAAATAAATCCTTTAAATATGAGGCCAGGACTTTCCTTTGGCTTCTCAGAGTGCCACTTCCTCTCCCTGGCCTTCCTTACATCTGGCCATCTCCTGAGGACTGCACTTTTCTCTTACAGCCCGAGGGCTGCACGCAGTTGCCATCCTCATGTACATCACTGCTCTCTTCAAACCACTGCTCTTATGTTCTTACTTAAAACCAAAACAAAAGAAATATCTGCCCCTTTAAGATTTACATCATCAGACATACCATCGAACCCTCTCCACACACTGTCACCTACTGATTTCCAGCTGCCTGTCCTCCTCCATCACACTCTGACATCTGACATAGTCTTCTCTCTGCCCCAGGCTCAGCCACCACACACGGTGATTCGCCCCCGTTCTTGTCATTACAGAAGAATCTCTAGGCCTCAAATCATCAATCCAAATAGACTGATTCTAAAACCTCATCTCCTGCTCCCAGTTTTCTGTTCAACTACCACTACAGTGACTGTTCTCTCATTTGAACCGTATCTGAACTCCAGGCCCCGAGTTTCTCTTCTCTCTCCAGGTCATCCCCCTTCCTCCACCCCTGTTCCTCCTTAATCAGCTTACAGCCCACACCGTCACCCTGTCCACTCACTGCTGCTGCCACCCCACACCCTGCCACCTCTCCCTTCCTTTTCAGCTCACTGCCTGCCAAACCCCAAAGCATGATGAGTCCAAAGAGCCCATTCACCACACCCACAACTCAAGGTGATGAGTGTCACAGGACAGGGAGGAGTCACTGCTCTACATATTGTAATCCCAACCACATGGTGTACATTTCCGGTAATATTTATACCTCCACTCAGCCCATTCTCTTTCTCCCTACAGCCACAGTTTGAAACACCTCCATTTTTCTCAAATGGCCAATGCCTACCCTTACTTATCTCACCCCTTCTAACAAAGGAAAAAAAGGCATTAGATATAAAATCCCTCATCTTCTCAATACCAAAAATGCACACCAATATATGACATGCCGATCTTCCCTTTTGAGCAGTGGCCAAGCTGAGCTTCCTCCCAGTCTCAATACTTGTGTTTGGAGACCCACCTCCTCATGGCGTCTAAGGAAGCTCACACTATCAATTTCCCTCTTCTCTGATACGCATAGAATTCTATTCATCTCTTTCCCTGAACAAAATCAGTCCCAAAGGCATTCAAATGATCTCTAGTAAGTTCAATTTAAAAACCTCACTAAAAAAAAAAAAAACCTCACTAAACCCATAGCCTTCCCTATTAACCCCACTGCCCAAGCCCAACCTCTGCGGGGAACACCAGCTGTGCACATCTCGGCTCTCTCCTTCTAATTCTTCCACAACTATCATCATCTTGCTCATCATTTTCACATTTTCATTCTTTTTATGTAGTTTCCTTGTGTCTATCACATGTTCCTACATCTCTATCGTGTTTAGTTTTTGATTATTTCTAAGGCCAGCACCACAGAAATGTGCTAATAACACCGTTTATAAGCTTCAATGTGGTTTGTTGCCTCAAACACTTGCCAAGTTAAGCCCTGGACCTGCACGTATACGTGCTTAGGTTTTCCAAGTCAGAATGATGATGTAACACAGAGCAAAGCCCCAAAGTCACACACATTCTGCATCACGACCTGCTAACCACTCCTCCTCTTACCCTATGAGGCTCTCATTCGGCAGTCCTTCTCAGTTAGCAGGCTACGTTCAGACAGCAGAAGTGTCTCTATTTATGTTCCCCTATCTTGCAGATCTGCCACCAACAAGTCCTCTACAGGGACTCCTCCTGCCTCTCTCCTGACTGTTCACACCAGATATTCCTATCTGGGCTATGAGATATTCAGAGCTTGTACTCACCCTCATTTCAGCCCAAATTTCAAGGCAAATATAACAGTGTTTTGGTCAGGAAGGAGAAGAGAGCAGTGTAGTCAATTTCGTCCTCTACTGAACATGGAATTTCTTTCTTCATTGTTTTTGGCGAGTTTCAAGAGAAGGGTATTGTGGTACACATAATGTGATTGACTTTTGAAAGGCCATTCTTTCCCCCCTTCCTAACAAAATCACTGATTTTGTTTGGGTTCCTCCAGTTTTCAAAACATGCCCCTGCCATTAGCCATCAAGCATACAATTTTAAAATCACTGGTAATTTCTAGCTCTTCATCTGTGAAATTATGGGGATTAATTGTAGCTCTAAGGAGTACTTCACTTACCCTGCACTTCAGATGGCCCACAGATATGCTACAGACACTGAAGTTTAAGGACCTGGAGGGCACAGTTCACCTGCCTGATTCTCTTCCTTCCTGCCTCAGTGACTGCATGCTAAGGGTGCCATGCATGCCTTTATAAAACCACCAAATACAGCAAAGCACTTTTTGTCTTTTTAAACTCCTGCTTTAACCATCCACTGAGAGAGAGAGAGAAAATAATCTGTTTTTGTTTTTTTACCATGACTTTCCAATAATAAAGACTCTTCTGACATAAGAAATATATGGTATTTCAAAATGTAGCCACATTTTACACTCTCTGGTCTTTTATGCATTCTCCCCAAACAATTAGGAAATCATTTTGAACTCAAAATTATTTCTAATATGTTAGATATTACAAGTCCCAATGCTACCCTCGTTCTTCTTTCTATCCTTCTATGATAGTGGCTAGAAAGCTAAATATTTGAATCTCCAGTCTCCACTACAGTCAAGAGGCATGCAAACAGGTCTGGCCAATACAACACAGGGGAAACCTGTTGGGCATGGCTTCCAGGAAAGCTCTCCCTGTTTTGCACTGAGCTGGCAAGGACACTTTTTCCCCCTTTTGCTCTTTTTCCTTCCTTCTAACCTAAAAAGTGGGGATGCTCTCTGGAGGTGCTGCAGCCATCCCGAGGCAGGATACAGTGAAGTATCACACAACACATGTCTTGAAAACATTCCAAAAATAACATGCCCATGAGCATTGTCATTCTTACATTGTTTCATTGACCTGCCACATGACACAAGCATCTTGCGCATATACTCTAATGAATCCAACCCATATTTGCCTATACTAATACTCTGCCAGGCATGATGAAAGACAAGATAACTTCAAGCCACAGCCCCTGGCTTATAAAGCTTCCAGGCCAGTAGGGGAGAGCTGAGAACAGCTGCCCTGAGAGTGCACGGGAGGTACAGCTAAGTGCACATTAGGTTGAAGTTGTCAGATAGAGCTTTCCAGGGAAAAGTAAAAGTTGCAAGGAAGTCTTAACTGGGTAGATTAGGAAAAGGGACATGTCTACCAGGAGGGAGTAATATGAGCAAAAGGACAGAGGTTAACAAGCACAAGTAAGCACAACATGTGGTGTGAGAAGCCTGGGGAGCTCCTCTAAGGAAGAGATCAAAGTAAGTCTGCTCCTGCCAGATCACAGTATTTACAATCTCTCCAATGCTCGAGGTTCCTCAGCTAAGTCCTGACTCGGGGTAAGAGCTCCCAGACGCCCCCAAGGCTAGTTTAGAGGACCGTCTCCAAGTCACCATGGCACCCCAGCAGAATTCCACCCTGGCACCTGGCACGCAGGTGCAATTCTCTACCACGCCCAGGTCCCAGCAGAATAAGAAGCCCTTACTGCTCACTACTGCCTTCCCAGTCCCAGCACGGGCAGGCCTTACAGAAACGGCTGATGAGAGACAGTTCAATAAACCAGGACCACACTAGGACTCCATTTCTGGGTCATTACGCTGTAAGAAGAAGAATCTTACAGTTAAACAATGAACTAGGGTAAGTTGTCAAAAATTCTAATATAAAGACCACTGAGGATTTAGGAGAAACAAATTTAATCCAATACTAGATGAAAAAATCAGGTTAAAGAAATGTTGCCCTCCTCCCTCACTGGCTCTCTATCTCTCTTTCTCTCTCTCTCTATCTCTCTCTCTTGCATGCACACACAAGGATCGCCAACCCCCATGGGTCTCACCATCAGCATTTTGTGCAGGTCCTCCTCAAAGGCGTCGATGTTGCAGTCGGTCTTCTGCAGGTCGGCCAGCACCTCATGCAGCATGAACTGGTAGTACTGCTTCATCAGAAGGCCGCCCTTTAGCACCTCTTTACATTCCCTCACCAGCTGCAGGAGATGGGCACAAGCTCTGTCACTCCACACACCCTCACCACATCATCTGGCAATTTCACACACCTTCCTCTTAATCCTCAAAACCTCTGAAAGTCCTCAAGTATTTGCCAATTCTTTATCAGTTCAGTTTATATAAATACCTTAGGAGTCTTGATTAAGAACAGAATAGTGAAAATAAAAGTAGCTAACATTATAGCAGCAATACACATACACACAGAAAACATCATCCAGGCAAATACTGATTTGTGAAAATATATTTCCCTACAAATACATTTACATAGAAAATAAATCCCATGGAGAAAGATCTATTTCTCTACTAGTTTGCATTATATAAGACAAGGGATAGGAGAGAAAAATCATCTAATGAAACTGATGATTTCTGTCCAAAAACACAATACTGATTCACATAAACTTACATGCCACAGAGCATGACAATCTTTGTAATAATTTAGCATAGCAACTACAGTGATTTGCGGTCTTTACCATCAAAAGCCTTTAATCATCACAAAAATCACCTGAGAGCAATCTGATGCCATGAGATGGAAATCCAGGGAAAACAAATCTAAACAAAAAGCTGAGCACCACCACCAGGTGCACGCCCTGCAGGTGATGCTGGGGAGGAGAGGGGTTGACATGGGATGACTGACCTTAAAGTCCTTTCATCACAATACTTACTATCACAGTACAGATACAGATAGTATCACAGATACTATCACAGTATTATTTAAAACAATGGGGATTGGGCAGCCTGGGTGGCTCAGCGGTTTAGCACCTGCCTACAGCCCAGGGCCTGGTCCTGGAGTCCCAGGATGGATTCCCACATCAAGCTCCCTGCATGGAGCCTGCTTCTCCCTCTGCCTGTGTTTCTGCTTCTCTCTTTCTCTCTCTCTCTCTCTCCCCCTGTGTCTCTCATGAATAAACAAAATCTTAAAAAAAAAAGGGGGGGGGATCCCTGGGAGGCGCAGCGGTTTAGCGCCTGCCTTTGGCCCAGGGCGCAATCCTGGAGACCCGGGATCGAATCCCACGTCGGGCTCCCAGTGCATGGAGCCTGCTTCTCCCTCTGCCTATGTCTCTGCCTCTGCCTCTCTCTCTCTCGCTCTCTCTCTCTCTCTGTGACTATCATAAATAAATAAAATTTTTTTTAAAAAAGGGGGGGAGTTAAATAAATTATGATGTATCTATACAGCAGAGCACTACTGTGGCCATTTAAAATCTCATTTTTGAAAAATATTTAAGGGTAAAAACCATACGCATATTTTTTCTTTTACTTGTATGTGTAGGAAAAACAGATGGATAAAAATACACTAAGAGAGTTACAGTGGTTACCTCTGAGTGGCAGCATAATAGGAAAAGTTTTCATTTTTGTCTGTATCATTTTCTTTACTCTTCAAATATTCTAGAATAAATATGGATTGCTCTTATAAACATAATTTCCCCTTTAAAGTATTCTAAAAATAATTACCCACGATAAGAGATCCATGGCTGGAGTCAAATCTATTAAAAGCTGTTCTGTTCAGATGCAAATTTCTCTGGCAAAGAGGTCACTTAGGTGCTTATAACTGAATCTCTGAATGGTTTTAGCCAAAATATGTTTTATTTTGATTGTAGTAATGCCACATTTGTCTAAGTATTGTTTCTATTTTTAAAAATATTTTAACAAAACTTATTGTTTCATCCTCACAATAGCTCCATTAACAAAAAGTAAAAAGTAAACTCTGCCTTCTCTTACTAGGTTATATTCCTGAAGTATTCATTTTGTGAGAAGAGAAGTCAGTATTTTACCTAAACTTCCTAAATTACCACCGCAATAAAGTGGACAAGTGGAAAGCATGGCCACAGTGGATGGCAGGACAATAACCAGGAGCAAGGTGGTGAGCAGCAGAGTGAGCTCTCTGGTCAGTACTGGACAGAAACTGAAGTGAGCACAGTGGGGTCCATGAGTCACACCCCTCTCAGCTAAACCCACAAATTCAAATCTTATTCTGTGCCTATCCTACGGCCTGCGCTTGTCCCCAGGTGCCATCGGTTACACCGAGCCCATGAGCTCTTGGCCCTTCCATCCCACGAGGACAGCCACACAGTCGACAAAAACATACCTTTTTCTTTCTTTCTTTTTTTCAAAATCTGACATATTTATTTTGCATAATGGATGTCAATATGGTAATATCATAATGTACCAATACAAACAATCTCTAGCATTGATTGTGCTAGATACAACTGCTTCCAGCCATTCCGGTTACCTCTGGAGTATCAAACTCCCTGGAGAATCCCATCCAAGAAAGCAGAAGCTGTCATTACTATTTAAACCATGCAACTGCCTAAGCAAGCAAAAAGTCCAAACATCTCCCCACTGCATACTCAAAAGACATTTATCTATTTCCATGTAACTTAAATAGAACCAAAAAAAAAAATAAATTTAAGGAACTTAAAGTATTTCTAATGAGTGAATTTTATGTTTCCAATCTCCAAAGACTGATATTAATAGACTATGTCATTTCATAGTACTTTTATATCCTTTTGGAATGAGGAAGTAATGGCGAAAAGGCTGAACCACAATCCTATCTTTGAGGGCTACATGCAAAGAACATTTTAAATTACCCTAAAAAGAGTAGCTTAAAAACAGTAACATACACTCATTTTTCATTATTTGCAACAATTAAAATCCTCAATCCAAAATAAAAACAAGCCTGTAGAATAGTAGCATTTAGTAATTGCTAAATATTTTTAAACGGTCACTGAAACAGACCTGCTTAATACTTAAGAGAGATGGTTCTCCAGCAGGCCTCTGCTCCAGTCTTAACTTCAGACACTCATGTATCACATTCAGAAGGACTCGACAGAGCACCAGGAAGGCAGGTTCGAAGGAGGGTAAGTCCATGGACTTTAGCTCGTCCCACGACACAGTGCTGCCCTTCTGCTCCGAGGAAGGTGGTGTCCTGGATAACTGCACATAATCGGAACCCCACATGGGGTCTGGAAATTCGGAAAACTATAACAAGAATTCAACAAAGGTTAAAAGAGCATACAAAACAATGTCCCGAGGTTGTGGTTATAAACTATTATTCTCTACAGTTTACTGGTAATCTACAAAATCACAATTTTATAGGTACAATAATCTTTAGACTAATTCAACATTTTCAACATAACTTAGAAGTTCTAAAAGTAATAGAAAATCATAACAAGAACATTATAATTTTTTATCAAAAAAAGCATAGTAGAAAAAGAATCATGTTCATCATTTGCATCATATATTTTATCATCATATTTGAAATGATTAGAACACTTTGTTTTTAAAGTTATATATAGTATTATCCACAACTGTCTCCAGACTGAGAAAATCAGAAATTATTGAAATTTGAGGAAAGGTTATAAAACCAGGGAGCCATTTACATAAACATAAAAACCAATTCTTCTGTCCATTGCTCTCTTGAGCTACACCAAAAGATGCTGAAATAAAAATATTCATAAAATTGACCTGGATGGTCCCACTCAAATGTTATTCGACATTCCTGGGAATCTCAATGTTGCTCACCCTTTCTCAAATTCTTTATGCTTTTCTTCATAAAGTAGTGAATTTAGAGCTTTCCCCACTATCCTTAAACCCTGGCAACATCATCCTGACTAATCATATTCAAAGACCTTCCCCTCTCCCTTCACTGAGAAAATGAAGCCAACAAAATTCAAAAATCTCAAATTCTCATCAATTAATTTTTTTCAAAGAGTTATCCATTCCAGAGAGAGAAAGAGAAAGAGAGCAAGAAGGAGAAAGAGAGAGAGCATGCATGCAAGCAGGGGAGGGACAAGCAGACTCCACGCGGAACATGGAGTCCGACAAAGGGCTGGATCTCAGGACCCTGAGATCTGAGATCATGACCCAAGCCAAAACCAAGAGTCAGATGCTTAACGAACTGAGCCATCCAGGTACCCCTCAAGTTCTCTTCAATTTAAAACATCACCAATTATAGCTATTCTGCCTCCATGTCATTCATATCTATGTTCCCCGTCATTTAGTGAACTCTTAACTGGTCTCCTCTGCTCACATCCTTTTATGCTCAACACATATTTCTGCATTTAAATTAATACATACTTCAGTTTCCTATAACACAAGAATTTTTAAAATAGCACACCATTTTTAACATGTGATCAATGTGGTTAAGGTTAAAACATGTCTGTTTAAAAGCTTTAGGCAATATAAAAGCATGTTTTCCTCTGGTATAGAGAACGATCTCAGATCAAAGGTTTATTTAAAACTCTATAAAACTCAGCAAACATTCTCTGATAAAATTCTAAAGAATTCTTCTGGCATTCTCTAGAGTTCCAGCCCGTTCATCCATGCACTATGGGCTCACTGGGAAAGGAACAATCCCTTCTGGTCCACACTGCAAGACAACACTGCCTGGGAGACCCAACAGCCAGACCTACACAGCTGCTGAGGAAACGTATTCCTGCTGGTGGTGCGCAGTGGGTCAGCCCCTGTCCAATGAGGACCAGGTGTTAAAAACCTTAGCACTGAAGAGGAAACAGCAGTTTTAACTGAAGAAACTGAGGTGACGCATCAGAACAGCTGATGCTCATTTAATATAGGAAATAAGAGAGAACCATAAAACACTCCACAGCAATATCACATTGAAGTCCTCTGGAAAAATCTAACAAACCAAGATTTCTAAAACAAATTCAATATAGCCCATGAAAATAAAATTGATGTGGTAAAATTAATAACTTAGACATTAACAGAAATTATCACTACAACAAAGAGCAAAAGAAAAAGAAATGGAAGTTTTGGGCGAAAAATAGACACGTGGAAGTCGGATCTGGGAGCTTAATGTGCAAGTAACAGGAGTGTGGAAAGAACAGGAGAGGGAGGAGAGGAGAGGTTTTAGCAGTCAAGATTCCACGAATATGTGAAGAAAGAACCCTCTTTAGACAAGGAAGAACTCAAAGTACAATTCATTTACCCTCACTAAAAATTACATGAGGAAACACAGTAGGGTCTCGTCAAATGAAAATTTAATCAGAATAAAGATCCCAAGATAAAAATACCCAAGAAGTGAGAAGCCATGAAATTAGCTGAACTTATACAGGCAAATACAACTCCATGACGATAACCTGGTTAGAGACTATAATCAAGTTTTAGAGAGGAGTTTTGAATTTCTTTTTTTTTTTAAAGCATACTATGAGAAAAAAAAAACCTGGAGCTTAAATTCCCAATTATTTCAATAAAGCACAAGAGGGCAGCCCCGGTGGCCCAGTGTTTTAGTGCCGCCTTCAGCCCAGAGTGTGATCCTGGGGGCCCGGGATCAAGTCCCACATCAGGCTCCCTGCATAGAGCCTGCTTCTCCCTCTGCCTGCGTCTCTGCCTGTCTCTCTCTCTCTCTCTCTCTCTCTCTCTCTCTCTCTCTCTGTGTCTCTCATGAATAAATAAATTAAAATCTTTAAAAAAAAAACACAAGAAGAGAAGAAGGGGCAATAAAGTGCAAGAATGGCATTTTTTGCTATTACTTCATGTTTATTATTACTTCTAGTGAGAAATACAGGATTAACTATGCTATAAAATCTGTGATCAACTCAGGAAAACCAGGCCGACTCAATAGTACAGAGACATCAATAAAAATGCAGTGTAATTACAATCATAACCCCATTGGCATTTTGAGTGGGCTAATAAATTCACTCAGTAAAATTCATGTGGAAGAAAGTAATATGCAAAAGTCAAAACAGCCCAGAAATTTTTAAAGAATAAATGGGAAAAATTGCCCTACATGATGGCAAACCTTAATAATAAACCTACTTTATTTAAAATAGAAAATCAGCAGAGACATGTATCGAATTATCTATAATAAATACATTTAAAAAGTATGCAGTAGTTGAAGAAGCTGGAAGATGGATAACCCAATGTTAAAGAAAATTGAAAAATAATTACATCTTACCTCCCCCTATAATTATAGTCATAATTTTTTAATTATGTGGCTATTTTAGAAGTTCTTGCCTAATAGGAGAAACTAGAGTATGTATTAACATAAATACAAAAATATGTTTTAAATATATACATATGGAAAGACTCCAAATGTTAATAGAGGTTTAATAACCTAAACACAGAGCTATACATTAGGTTAAGCCACATAAAACTGTCATTTTCATCAGGCAAAAATGACCAAATATTGGCAATTTAGTACAGGTCAACATAACGGGAATTCTGGAAAGACAAAGGTGGCAGCAGGATTTTGATTCCTCTTAGTTCCCCCATAAGAATGAGGACAACAAAGTCAAAACTCCTTGAGACATACACCAAGTAAAACTAGGTGACCCGACATCTCTGCAAACTCCAAAGGAGAGGAGATGGGGGAAGTGAACCGACCTAGGCCCTGCAGTATTCACACATGTGCAAGGGAAACACAGGGGATTCCTAGGCTGTCTGATGGGCCCAAAGGGGCAAATTCCACCATCACTAACGACTATTCAATAGAATGCTCAGTGCTTCTATTTGAGGACTTGAGTGAATCAGAAAGCGATTTGGACACAATAGTCACGAGTGAGGTCAAGAGGCTGTGACAGGTGTGAAGGGGCTGAAGGTGTTTAGGCTTCCCAAACTCTTAAAACTCTGAGCTAAAATCCCCTACCAGGACAAACCTGCTAGACTGAAATTCAACTGACCAAGAAAGTAGAGGAGAGGTAAAGAACAAGAAGGTCTAGAAGTGGGAAGGGAACACAGTCAGGAGATCTCAAAAAAAGAGACATTTTTTGGCAATTCAGAAGGAGTTCAAAGCTACAAACTCAAAATAAATAAATAAATAAATAAAAAATAAAAAAAATAAAAAAAGCTACAAACTCTCATCTTCTGAACTCTCCTTAAAGTTCATGAAAACAATTATGTTTTAAAATGAGCAACAAAAGGACTGTGCTAGAATCCAATACAGGGCTATTAAGTAGAGAAATAAGGAGCAGAATAACCTTAGAGACAATGAAAGCATGCCAGAAAGACATGACCACTAAAGACAGGACTGCAGCCCAATTTTCAAAAAAAAAAAAGTTAAAAGAAATTAAGAAAATCATAGAAAATATAAAAGAACAACATAAATTAGAAAGCCTCACAAACAACGTGATAGTACTCAAAAGATAATTTTTTAAATGGAAAATAATTTTAGGGGCACTTGGTTAGCTCAGTCCATTAAGCATCTGACTCTTAGTTTCAGCCCAGGTCATGATTCCAGGTTTGTGAGATTGAGCCCCTAGGAGTGCTCCCGTTTAGCAGTGAGTCTGCTTCCCTCCCTTCTCCCTTGCCCCCCTCTCCTGTTTTTTCTCTCTAAAATAAATACATAAATCTTAAAAAAAAAAAAAGAAAATCATTTTTAAAACATAAAACAGACTATGAGGAACATGAGCACAAATAAATAGAAGAGATAATGGCCTCAAAAAGATATGAGGTAAAAATGAAAATTTTATAAATCAAAAGGAAGGAAGGGATTTGAAATAAAGTGACAGAAAGGCAAAGTAGATCCAAAACAGATACAGTAGCAGTTCCCAGAGAAGAAAACCAAATCAATGAAAAAGAAAAAAGTTAAAACGTTAAGAAATTCACTTGAAATTAAAAAAAAAAAAACAAGCAGATAAAAAGCAAACAAACCTGAAATCATATACTAAAAGGGCACCACGTATTCAAAAAATATCAATGTGGAAAAACCAACACTAGGTACACTAGTGGAGTTGAAAGAAAAAGAAAAAAAATCAATTCTTTGGGCATCCAGGTTCTAAGTAAATAAATTAAATGAACAAAGGTTCTTATGGATTAAAACAAAAAATTATATTACCATGAGACTTTGCAATCTCAGTGCTGCATGCCAAAAGACAATGAATGATATATATTAAATTTATTCAAGGAAAGAATACACCAAAGATTTTATGGCCAAATAGACTTGCAAAGTCAATGCTGCAAACTGTTAGGAAAATCCAAGAACTCAGAAAACGCTGGTCTTAGGAGCCCTTACAGAGGACTCT